CGATTCTCAGCATTCGCTGGATTTCCTGCAATGCGCCACCCCAGGAAGAGAATCAAAAGCATCAAAGCTGCATGCCAGAGAATGAAGGGCTGGATTCGGTTTCTTGGTTGCCAAGTAATCAGTTCTTCGGAACAAAGTCGAATAGCGGCTAATATAATATTATAAATAATATATAATATATTACTCGGGCTGATGATGTTTCACAACTTATCAATTATGCATGAAACATTCCAAGCCACGCTCAGGAAGGACTTCTATGAGAAGGATGTGCATGTCTACTGGGTGCAGGGAAACTTGAAGGGAAAGAAACTGAGCCTTGGACACTGTACCGACATGCAAGTGTTTGGTGATCATGTCACACTTTATCACACTTTGAAAATCAACTCTTATCAGCTTAGTGAACTCCTGATTTAAATTTTGGGCCCTGCTTAGTGGAATCTCGAGTCTATTCCCGTTTGTCTCTTCACCCAGGAAGCGCTACCGTGAGAGCACTGCAGTCGAGTCGGAGTCCTCTGCTGATGATGCTGACCCATTCGATACCTCTATGGAGATTGATGAGTGGGACCACATGGAAATCAAGCCCAGCGCAGGTTGGGTCATCGTTCAAATTGAATCACTGTGAATCACACAATCAAAATCAAAGCCTATCATTAGCTTATATTAGCTTGTTTCTATTGCACTTGCTTCAGTCTCGTGATGCCCGACACCCTGAACAGACGAAGCCAAGCTGACCGAGAAGGCGGAAAACTTGGCGGTCGAAGCCAAATCGCTGAAGCTAATCTCATTTCCGGAGATGGATTCTGATGCGATCCCGAGTTCATATGTCATGAAGGTTTTGGCATGCATGGGAAAATGGCAAATGAAGATGCACGATCTCGGGTCTCAGCTGGATACCAGCAACAAAACTATGAAACCGTTCCTTGACGAATAGATGTTGTAGATCATGTTAGACCCCACACCCTAGCACGCCTCGTAGCATCCAATAGATCGAGTTCCCATCCACAGTGCCAAGACCTCGCACAGAGCAGCTGAGGCTGAGCGAGAGATCGCACGAGTGGGCCACGAAAATCGGGGCCCTTGCAGACGAAATTTCAGACTGCAATTCAGGTGGCATCGCTGATGGATTTACGCATGTGCAGCTTGTTTGCATTTCCTATCCATGCATGCACTGAAAAGTTGACAAAAACCCTTTCAAGATGGAGCCAAACAAGCAGCTGGTCGTTGACCTGTTGTGGGTTAAATGGTGGATTTTTCATGCATGTCTGTTGAGGCAACAGGACCAGCTTCGTCAGCAATTCGTCCGTGCCAAGGCGTTGTGTCTTGGCCCATCACTACGTTTTGTTGCTGTATGATATTTCATGGATCTAATGCAGCTTCGACTATTCATTCGTATAAACCCCAAGGCACGAAAGATGCAACTTTGAAATCTCGAGCATAAACTAAAAGAATGATTTCTCTGCTTTTTTTTGAATAGCGAAACTTTCAACCATTGACGAATGAAATTCAACATTCCACTTCGGTACCCTTCCAAGCCCAAATGCCTCAACCGACGCATGAGGTGTCGCGAAGCCTTGAGCCTGCAAAGCCGTGCCCAGCCCCGTGGCATCTGGTTAAATCTCGTGGTCTGGGTGAGGAAATACAGTATGCATGCTATATCATAAGCATTCACAAGCTATATTCTAGAATTTCATTATATAGTAGAGTGAATTTCACATATGCCCTTGGATTTGTTTCCCTACCAACATGGCCCTCGAAATATTAACTCGTGTGTTCGGTTACGGAGGGATGGGGTGGCTGAGGCCCTACATCGCTTACTTGAAGCAGAAGAGCAAGCCGCCCCCACAAAAGAGAGTGAAAGAAGAACAATGAGTATATATTCATGGTTGCTTGTGCTCATCTCCATGCCTTGTTTCCGGCTGGGAAATGATTCAAGTTGGTGACAGTAACCCAAAAAATTGTTTGATCCTTTGAAATTGTTGAGGTGGAGCTGGTTTCAAATGTTTGCAGGGCCCTTCGCATAGCCGGATCAAGTCATATATGTGAGTTTGGTGGTGTTCGCAGCCACGGGGTTTTCCAGTCTCCAAAGAGATTGTGATGGGTTTCTGACTGAGAAAAAATGTTTCTCAGCCATTGAAGTAGGTTCATGGTTCAGCTCGTTGTGGCATAGACTGTCACGCTTTCTTGTGTTAGCCTTGTGCCTGTGCCTAGACCAACAGCACGCGCAGGGAGGTTCTGGGGTCAGAAAACCACTTGCAAGCATCGCTGGAACAGGGCTTGATGTAACGTAGCTCATGCAGTATACGATATGAAAAGTATTGCAATTCATAAATCTCACATGACAGGTGAAGAAGCTGGTCCCATTCTTCGACATGCTGTTGAAATTGTTGCTGATGGGGCCCCTTGGCAACATGAGCATACATGAGCCGAACAATTGTTTGTAATCCACCAAAGCCTGGAGAGCGAGTTCGCGCCCTGGCCCCAATCTGCCCAATTTGCCTTTGCCAGTTGAGGCTCCGGCGCGAACCTTGGCCGAGAAGACCAAAGCTTTTGCTGACGAGCATGGCAAAGCCTTCGCACGGAGGACAATGGGCTCATATGGGGTGAATGTGAAGAACGTAACCTGGCTTAAATTTAGAAAACTGGTTGGATGGCTGGATGGCTTACTTGTCAATTCTGCAAGGTCGCCTGTTTCTTTGGGACTCGAATTCGTATCCTCGTGCTAGCATATTCTTTTGATCGCACAATTATATAGTCGTATAGCCAAGAAACCTACCAATTACTATGCTTTGAGAATACAATGAAGAAGCTGGAAGTGGCAACCCGACAGCCCCAATTCATGTCCCGCTTCAGGCAAAGCGATTGCACGATGCTTTGGTGCGGAAATTTGGGCTTTCCTTGAGGATCCCTCTGTCAGAATATGTTCATTTTGAAGGGCCCCTGTCTGTGGTGATGCCTTACCTCAAGCCGTCTGACATTTTCAGCACTATGATGTCCAAGCACCCGTGGCTACTACTTGGAGGCTCCACAGGACCCGAGTCACAAAGGATGCTAGCGTCATTTTGGAAATGTTACAGGTTGGACCACCCTAGCCATTCAGTTTTCGAGTTCGACGAGGACCGACTGAAAAGGACAATCCCCATTACGGTGCATGGTGATGGTGGAAGGACCCAAAAGAAACAACCGCTTGAAATTTTCAGCATCCAACCAGTGATGGGCTTGAACACACAGGCCTCACGAAAGCGATGCAGCTGCCATTGTGAAACCTCAGTTGAGTTTGGTGGTGGTGACGCTGGTGACCCTAGCACTCATTGCCTCAACAGCAAGCACAACACCTACATGACGCATTTTCTGGTGTTTGCTTACCCATCAAAATCGTACAAAGGCTTTAACGATTTGCTCACAGGGTTGTTGGAAGCTGCATGCACGGACCTTGGCACCTTGTGCGCTGAGGGGGTGCTTGGGCTTGATGGGCAGCGGTGGTATCCGGCTGCTGTCGGGTTTAAACTCGATATGGAATGGATGGCAAAATGTGGGTCGCTGACGCGCTCTTATCAGAATGTTGGCCATGTTCGAGAAATACCTTGCTGCCACGAGTGTGATGCTGGTATGCCAAACGTCCCTTTCGAGGATGTCAACAAAAATGCCTTGTGGACACAGACGCGATTTAACACTATTCCATGGTCAGTGGACCCGCCTTGGGTCAACATCCCCTTTGACCCTGCGAAGCCTGCAAAATTCTTGAGGAGAGATGCTTTCCACATCTTCCGCATGGGAATTGGAAGGAACTACATTGCTTCTTGTGTCTTCTTGCTGTGCTACATGAAATGCTACTTAGACTTTGGGGTCTTCAGAACAGTCTTTCCTGCTGAATCTTTTTGGCCTTTTCAGGGTCGAGCAAATTTCCATAGTTGTAAAATGTGTTCAATCAGTGGGGTTTTGCAGCTGAGGTTTTTCAGTCATTGGGGAGCGCAACGCAATAGACAAATGCTTGGAACGGGCGTTCGGCAACCTGAAGCTGTTTTGTCTGGCCAATGGCTTGAGCGTGCAAAGCATTCGTGGCTTCAGTCCTCAATATGCATGCCTCGAAAAAAGCTTTTCCTTGGTTGGGTTGCAAAGGTGCGGATACAATCGTCATTCTGAAGTGGCTCCAGTTTTTCCTCGGCCTGTTGATGTCTGACGATAGCTGGTCTCCTGAACACAAAAGAATTTTGAATCTGATGTTGGAGGGTTCAAAGGCTGGCCTATCCTTTTCTCAAGGGATCCATGGGCATGGCATTTGGTTGAAAGTTTCTTGTGTGAAATCTGTGCGGCGAGCTACGCGCAGATTTGGTCACGCTTACGCGCACTTGGCTGCCTATTGTGTAGAACAAGGCTACACGCTGTTTGGAATGGTTCCGAAATTGCATGCAAAAATGCACTACCAAGCTGACTTTGATGATTCGATCAGAGAACAACGTCAATGGACTCTGAACCCAGCAGCATTTGACAACTCGATGTCAGAAGATTTTATTGGACGAATTGCTCGTCAAAGCCGACGCATTTCGTTCCGAAATATTGAGAAATCAATCCTCCTGAGCTATCAAACGAAGGCTCATTTTGTGATTGACAAATTTAAGAAGCGACGTTTGGGGTAAAAAAACGGCGTGAAAAAGCTGAGGCCCCAACATCCACATGGACAGGGTTTTGCACACTACATTTGATCCACCAAATGGCTTATTCTGGCCACGGCGTTTCTTTGAAACTTTCAAAATCTGCGCACGCAGATTTTACAAATCAGAGGCGTTTTGTGTCACGTAGAGTCGTTTTTACATACCCCAAAATCCAGAGGCTGAAATTGTGCACACAGGGAAGTTCTAGGTATATATATATACATAATTATACATATATATATATATATACAATATACACATGATACAACATGATCCGCGATTTGCTTAAATTACTTAAGATGGCACCACAAAAAATTCTCCAAACATTAGATTCCCCAGTTTCAGTGGCACCTTCTCGGCTCAGGGTTGCCAAGCCGTGTACCACGTCCATGGACAGGGCACGTACCAAGCCACGCGCATAGGGCGGGAAGGCATCGAAAGGATAGGTCGCTTCCTGCTGGGGATGGGGGGAACATGGGGATTTTTTGGAGCAAACAACGGGGAAATCTTCAACATGTTGGCAAAAAAAACAGTGAAATGTTCAACAGATTTTTTGGAATTTAAGAGGTTCTTGGGACTTGAGTGGGTTTGAATGTGATCGAACATGATTTAAACCCATTCATCAACAAATATTGAATATTGGGATGGGAGAATAGCAAACATAAACTCTTTATGGCTATGTCATAATCCTTATTTGCTGTCGCTCCAATTGGATGTTTTTTCAGGTTTCAAAGATGGGGACAACTGAGACTTCACCAGCGAAAAACGGGAATTGTTCAGCCAAAACGAGTCCAAAAGGTAGGGGATTCCAAGCGACAGAAATGCAGAGTCAATCATGGGGATGGAGGCAGCCAACAGAAAGGATGCCGAAAACAGATCCGATCTACACTTTTTGCCCATGAAATGAGCTGAAATATGAGATAAGCTTATGATCCTACTGAGTAAAATGCTGGGAGTTACAGCTGGGACCTTGCGGGTTTAATGTGTTTTAATATGTTTTAATCAAGAACGTTCAAACACCAACAAAAACCAAAGCGAAAAAATGGAGCTAGATCTATTGACGCAATCGTGCTTCTGGCTGGGTTTACAACTCACCTTGAGGCCAAGTTTCAGAATTGTAAAATGCCTGCCCTTCCTCTCGTGGTACGGGGCTAAAGAAGTCGAAGTAGCCCCAGACGTAGCCAGCAGGCGGTCGGTGTTCAAGCAGCGATATCAGTGGAAGCGGCCGCAAGTACCTTAGAATATACACAAGGTGGGGCCCCCCAAGATAGCTAAGTTTGTTTATAACTCCATTAACAAGGACTTTTGGAAGATATATCTGTAGTTAATGGGGCAATAAACCAACTTATAACTCGGGGGCACCACATTGCAGCAAAATGATTTGGAGGACTCCCTTGACTTCCTTCATCTGGGAACATCTTTGCTCTGAGAATATGATCCGTTTCCATTAAGCTTTGAAAATCAAAGGATGCTCCAAACTTCTCCAAACTATTGATCTTTTGACTATCGCAGTTCACATCCAGGGGTTGGTAGGATCATCTTCAGACCCATCAGCGATGCCCAGTTGGTGATCCCCCACTGAACGGCATCCAATGGCATCCCAAAAGGCGTCCAGGCGCACATCATCATCCACCTTCACCAGAAACTCGGCCAGGACGTTACTGGAACACCACTCCAAAAAGCGCAAGCCTTTCAGGGAATTCCACTGATAGCCCTCCTGGACGTCCAGCAGTACCTGAGTCACATGCCGCCACTCGGCAAGCCTAAAAAAAAGTGGGCCAGCATTGGACATTCCTTGGCACCCAATGGAGTTCAGCATGGGTTGGTGCGCCACCCAAGTAATCCCAGCCCCCAAAAAAACACCCCAGCAAATGGTCCTAGATATGTGGTAAAACAATATTAAAACATCCCCTACATCCAGCATGTTAGATCTTGGGGCTGCCTTAAAAAAATATGCTTTTGTCAACGGGGCATGATCCATCATTTTTGTCAATGGATGATCCTTACATATCCTTACGATGGATCACTGACACCCAGATACCAGGTCCTGATGTTCATGACTCTCGCTCTTCACCTCTCGCGCCAAAGTCTCGGGAGGTTGGCCTGGAGGGGCGGCACGGCCAAAAAGAACATGCGATGCTCATCTGGCTGGATCCCCAAAATTCATCAAAGCACAGGGATATATATAGATATTACTGTAGGTACAGATAAAGATATATATCGATTTAGATATAGATATAGATATATAGTATATCTATAGTGTATACTGTATATATATATATAGTGTGTGTATATAGTGTATATATATATATATATAGAGTGTGTGTGTGTGTATATATGTGTATCTTATATATATATATACATATCACATATCTATATATGCACATAATATGTATGTATATATATAATGTATAGAGATATGTATGCACAATAGTGCATAATAGATAGGCAACAAGGTGTTTTGGAAAAAAGGTGACTCATCCTCGTGAGAAATTTAATAAGATGTCTTAGGATTAGGATATCAGATATTTATCCGAACCAGATTTGACACCGTGGTGCATCATGTTCAATACCAAGACCAGGGAAACAGCACAAGTAGACTAAAAAAATCTTGACATCAGCCTTCAAACAAAACGGCAACAAGGGTTTAAACGACCCTGCCTAGGAAGAACTTCACTCGAAATCCGCGCTTCTGGAAAATCCTGCCCCAAGTTCCGCGCACCACCTCCCTCTTTTCAAAATTGCCAGAGGCCGAATACACCCCGACGAAGATCGTGGGTATCGATGACCTTCCCTTCGCAGTTGATTTGCCCGGTTTGGCGACCATGGTTTCGCACAAGGTGCATGAAAAGGCCTCAAAAAATCCCCCGCAGGTGGCCGCTTTCATGGGGATCCAACCCCCCTCGGCGGAAGAAATGGCTTGATTCAACACGGGCAGTATCTCCTCTGATGTCCCAGCAAAACAAAACAACTCCCAAATATCCCAATGATATTCCCAATATATCCCCATAACATATTCCCATTCATGGTTGGGTCTCATCCCCTTAAAATCATGGTTGGATTGGATGGGTTCCATCTCCCTCAGCCCCACCTCCCGACCTTCAGGGTGCTCTGAAAATCCGTGGCATATCTGTACAGCAGCTGATCCTGCAGGAGCCGATGTTGCTGCCACAAGGAGCCGATCTCCTCGTTGATCTCGGGGAGAAAGTTCAACAGCCTCCGCTGCTGTCAGCATTAAAAAACGTTGGAGATCAAAGATCAAGTTGACACTGTGACACTGCCTTTAAGATGATGAATCAGAGGTCTGGCGTGGGACGTCTTTCCACATCTTCGTTTTTTTCGAATTAAAGTGCATCTGGCGATTGGAGCTGATCGATCATTGAAACCAACTCACTTATCAAGAGCACGGATCCTGAAAATCAGGCGAAGCGGTACAGCCATTTCAAACATGCTACAGAAAAATCTCTACTTTTGGGCTTCACAATCTTGACATCTGTTGTTTCCGAGTCGGAAGCCCCGCGACTGGTCAATCCGGAAGTGGGATCGATTCCATGGAAACACCACGCGCGGCAGCATGGCCAGTAGGTGGGAAAAGCCGTTGAAGAGGGGGATGCTACCCTTGGCGACGGCAGAACAGTGGCAGACTGGGCTGACGGGACATTCTGAAACATGTTTAATGGAAAGCAGGTTTTCTCCCAGGACATGTAAGATATGGGGATCGCGCAGAAAAAACTCCTTCGTCCTCTGGGAAAGAATGTGAAATAATTACGAAGGCCTGAAGGTTTTTGTGAATGGGGAGCCCCTATGCAGGAGTACGTGGATGAATACGACTACTACAAGATTGTGACATAAGACTCTCGGGTGGAGTACGATGTGGTCGTAGTAAGTAAAATCAGAGCTATGTTTGGGATAATTGGAACCATTGGTTTCCAGGCATATGCATGAGTCTGTAGTACACGAAATCCGCCCAGGTGATGGAGAAAAAGCGCAAGCCTATCCTGTTTTTTGGCATGTCCAAATTCGTGTGCATGTCTGCAGATTCGCGAAATTGTGGTATCATCAACTCTCAAAACACAGTAGATTGCTGTGGCTTAGTTTGAATCATAAGTGTATGGACTGTGATTGTGATGTACCTTACAATTATGTCACAAATTTCACGTGGCTGTCGCAATGCCAACACCGAGTGGCCCATGCAATTGAATGAATCAACGCTTGGGAAACGCTCCTCTCATCATCAACGATGAGACTGAAGCGATAGGCTCTGAAGGCATCTTCCAAACTCGATAGGCTACCTTCGTCCACATAGACGTGCTTTGGAATGACCTAAAAAAGGCTGCAATGCTTTGGGGTTGAGTCCAGCTGAGTCCAATCCAAACTAGAAACACTGGTTGTTTGAAAATGGGATTGTTTTCCCAAATGGCAATTTGCATGGTCTTATCATGGGGTATCACTGATTTTCCCTTATGGGAAAATCAGTGATGCCCCTGGATAATTGATATTACCATGTTTTTTGTCCAATCGAAAACGTGGGTGCCGAAAAATCAGACACACCTGCATCACTTGGTCGGCAATGACTCTCGTCTGTGGATCCTCCCAAGCTATAGATCCTGGGCCAAGTGGCCAAGGTTCCCTCGTTGAGCCCTTAAACATTCCCAAGGAACCATGGTTTTTTGTTGGGGATGTATGTACAATGATTTATAATGGCTTACAAATATTCGGGATGGGAGTGTTTTATTTCTGTTGGAATTATATAGGATGAGCTTTGAATATCTTTGAGTCACATCATTCTGGAGGTGTCTTCATCCCGTGCCTTCAACTAGCCCCGCCCCGATTTGCCGCCCTGGCGGGACCTATTCCCATATGACTCCGCCTTCTCTGGGCAGCAAAACGGACAGCAGGTGATCTTTCATCTGCAGGATGGAATCCATGGCCTATGACCCAAGCGATCAAGGACCCACAGGCTGCTTTGGTGGATGGATACCCACCCGTGTAGCCTACAAAGCCACCAACCATCGTCATTTTTGGGGTGAAACTGTTCCCCTTTTTCTTTTGGAACCCCCCCCCAAAAAAAAAAAAAGTTCGTCCAAGTCCAAATACACAGAAACCATTGAAACCATCAGAAATGCCTCGGAGACCAAGTCGCTTCTCCAAGTCTGGGCATCTCCAGCCGCTCCAGAAAGACGCGATTGCCATGCCGCGCTGCAAACGGCACCTGCTGCAGGTCGTCGGTGAAGACAAGATCCGCCTGCGACTGGAGGACGGTCCCAGGTATCAATTTCTTGGTTCCATGGGTAACCCATTTACGAATGGGATAATCCTCCAGGTAGGGGCAAGGCAACTTGGGATGTTTGGTGTGTCTGTTGCAAGATGTTAGTTGAAAACGATGGGCTGGAATTGTGAAGAAAAGAAGGATAGTTTGGTTGGGTCGAAACAAGTGCTGCAATACATGGGCATGGCGTCTGAAGTGACCGCTACACATGTGAAAACCTAGATGAATCGTCCGAATTCTTGGCGAGAACCCGCCCGCACCGATGGTGCCGAGGCCTTTTTTGCGCGTTTCTTGTTGTCCTTATATCCAGCGTTTGGACCTACTTATGGTTTTATAGCCTTCGCAAAGCAACAACGCGCGCTTTTCTCTACATGTTTGCATGATGTTTAGTGTGAGGAAAAGGCTCTAAAAACATGTAAAAGCGGTCAAAAGTAAGCTCCGACAATGGGTTTGCGTGCTTCGTATTGCTAGGGCAATTTAAAGAGCTATATTATACTCTGATTGGACCATACACAGATGGACACCGATGGGGATGTGAATAGTAAGATTGGAAACATTCCCAGCAAGCATTCGGGGTACTGGTCACGAAAAGATTGATCATCAACAACAATCAGGCAGCTTGCAATTGGTAAAACTAAAGAAACAATCCAACAATCAAGGGTTCTAAAACCGATACACCCTCTGCAATTGAAAAAGAATCCTTGCGCCTTACATGATTCTGAATGATGTTCCCTTTCCATCCTATTCTGCAAAAGTCTGCCATCTTCCAAAACTTCCAGAAAACCCGCAGGAAAAAAAAGTTTTTTCAAAAAAGTACCTTCTGGGAATTTAACAATATTGAACATAGCATAACATAGCTATGGGGCTATGGAAAATGATCTGTGTAGTTTGATGATTTACCCATTCAATTGCCCAGTTCGTGGATTTCCCAGCCATGTTAGATTACCAGTTCTGTTCTGGATTTGCATCTATTATGTGGTAAAGCCAATAATACCATCCCCAAAATCATCATAAAATGGCTCGGATTTCAACCATCCCCATGGTAGGTTTCAGTTAGACATGGTGGGTGTTCCTGCAAACTGAGCAACTGAGCTCCCATCTCCCCGAGCTTTCCCTAAGACTTCTCATCATCCCCAATAAATTTTCGTTAGCTCATCAACACCCAACAAATTCACAGCAAAATTCACCAACCAGGGCTATAGCTACATATAACTACTATAATGTGGTTAAAACAATGTCATAAACCATCCCCTAATTTCACCATTTTTATAGGTGGTATATATATATAATATAAACCATTCCCAATCATGGGTGGTTTATGACATTGTTTTAACCACACTATGTCATATCCAATTATTATTTGGCTTATTAACCACTATAAACCGCTGTAAACCGCTATAAACCGCTATTAACCACTATTAACCGCTATTAACCGCTATTAACCACTATAAACCACTATAAATACCACTATTCAATCAACTGGTCATTCGCTCACCTCGATGTCCGGGGACCAGGCGGACCAGGCGGACCAGGCCACCTCACAGGTCACGCCGCCGTCTCGGCTGACGTGGCCGCGACCTGGAGACACGGCCACCACGGGAAACAATGGTTAATAGTGGATTATCTGGTGGATTATCTGGTGGATTATATGGTGGATTATATGGTGGATTATATGGTGGATTATGTGTGTATATATATATGTGTATATATATATTGGTTGGTGGTTTGAACCATCTTGAAAAATATGAAAGTCAATGGGAAGGATTATCCCATATACTATGGAAAATAAACAATGTTTGAAACCACCAACCAGTGTGTGTGTATATATATATATATGTAATACCACCTATATTTCTATAAACTGATATGTATATATATATATATACCTAACTATATTATCATTTAGCATTTTCTGCTGACATAGCAAGGATATATACTGTATATAGATATATACTGTATGTATCTACATAATATAATTATACATAATATATACTATAGTAACATTTCTGAATGAAAATCAAAGAAATACCTACAGTAGTCTATAACGATCAAATGTAGTTTCAGTAGGCTCCAGTACTTTTGAGCCACAAATTTGCTGGATGTTGGCCAATCGCATCCCACCTTCCCGCTCTGACGTCACATTGAAGTCACAGCCAGCTTCCACTTTGATCAGCGTGAGCAGCAGACATCGCATCGACGTGCTGTGGCCCACACTACCGTGCCATGTCCCTGGAACCCATTCCAGTCCACTTTTTAAAGATAGCTTGAAAATATAGATTATTATGAAATTTTACAGATATTTTAGATTATCATAAATAGTTCATAATCTATAGATTGTTAATTGAAGATATCTATCTGTCTAATTATGAAAGGTGAACTTTGGGGTGAATTCCAAGAGTTAGTGCGCTTGCATAGAGCAGATAGGAGATACACTTGCCAGAAGAAACCCTTCCATTGGACTGTACTATTCAATCAGCTTTCTGCGAGCCAATCATCCACAAGTTCAGGATAAACCTTCGAGATCCTTCGAGCCAGGTTGGTTTCATGGGCGTTTCACCAAAATTGGAGCGCATCCCGGAAGAAAGTGCCCTTCTGCCACTGCAGCTTCTGCAAATCGTCCATTTTCCGTCTCCTCTGCAAGCGCTGCAAAAAAAAAAACGTTCGCATCACATATTCGCATCACATCTTCGCCTCGATCCTCGTCCATTTCCATCGCCTTTTTGGGGATCTCCCCTTCTCCAGTTCAGGGAGCTCCATGCCGCAGCTCCACCAGAAGTTCCACTGAAGGTCACCGAGCAGGGCAGGGCGACTTTGCGGACTTAGCGTAGCATGGCTCCACCGAACTTCTTCAGGAACCTCGGGCTGGAAGTACGAGTACAACCCACTAAGAAGGTAGGCAATAGTGCTAGGGAGTCAGATTCAACACGGCGAACCACATTTTGCCTTTGCGGAGGCCCAGATCATCTTGCCATCTAGTGAGAACCCCCCCGAATGCTAAGCTGAGCCAAGCTGCTTGGATCTCGTAGAATTGTCCATTTTCACTTCCAGAAGTATATCCCCAGTGTCCTGTCCGCCGGAAGTATTTTAAACTTCCATGGGCTTTTGGATGGTTTCTGGGGTTTGTTCAGCAAGGGCTTAAGAAAATTGAACCATGATTGTATGACACATACGCAGTCCATGGGTCTTCAATGACCAAGGAATCTGGGTGGGATGTCCTGAAAATACAGTGGTTGGTTGCCAAGCGGCCATAGTTGTTTCATTATTTTCATTCCAGTATTGATGAATTTCCACCAATGGGACAGTTTCCCTCCCAGCAAATCTCAGATTCCATCAGAAAAAACAACATCAAGTACCATTACCGCTCCCCGCGTGTAGCAGCCACCCGAACAAAGCGCGCAAACCGGGCACAACAGAGTTGGGAAGCTGAAAGTGTCAAAAACAAGACAGAGGTCTCAGAGAAGCGTCCAATCACTGTAGGCTATCGATTGATGTTTTCTTGGCCCAAGGGAACCCTTGAAACTTGAGGTCAAGTCCAGCCGGCCGCTGTTTTTGTTTGGAGAACGTCCAGAAAGTGCCCCTTTAGATCTTCAAACCCACCCACCAACCGCTCCCTGGAAGTGTCCCATTCCACCTGGCAGGTGTCCATAGACTGGTCCAACACCTCGCCAGAGGTATAAAAACAACTCGGAAACCCAGCCGCGGCAGCCCTCACAAAATGGGGATTTCATACAGGAAAGACTGACCAGAACTTTGAGGGACATGATGGAATGCCGGCGACAAAAAAAAACCTGACTGTGCACTTCAGGGAAACGGATAGAAAGTTCTGAGGAGTCTTAAGACTTAAGATCAATTCTGATCTATTAAACCCTCGTTTTCGATGAGTCCCAAGTTTTGGAAGCACCCTGTCTGACTCTGGCTACGCCAACGTTTCAAAAACTTGGAGAACTTGGGGATGCTTTTTTGGTCATCAGGCAAGACCTCGCAAGGTTTCACCTACCCTCTGGTTATTTGTTAAATAGCCATGGTATAGATGGCCCATAAAAATAGATGGTTTATACCTGGGTTTACCTATTAAAAATGGTGGATCTTTCCATGGCAAACTGTTAAATAACCAGATGGTAATTCTCAAGAACCAGTTGATCTATACTAACATGATTAACCATTATTAACCACTATTAACCATCATCAACCAGTTGATCTCCTATGCCTCGCTGGTGTCTGCCGCCATGCCATGAAACACCGAGGCACGGCCCCAGTCTCGGCCAGGAAGGCCCAGAGCTCGGCAGCCTCCGAAAAGGCCATGGAAAAAGAAAGGCCATGGTCATATCAAATTAGATTTCAATTATATCATTAAACAACATATATATATATATACCATATATATACCATATATATGTATACCATATATATACCATATATATATATATACCATATATATATATACACCATATATATATACACCATATATATATATATACCATATATATATACCATATATATATATACCATATATAAATACCATATATGTATATCATATATCATATATCATATACCATATATCATATATCATATACCATATATCATATACCATATATCATATACCATATATCATATATCATATACCATATATCATATATCATATACCATATATCATATACCATATATCATATACCATATATCATATATCATATACCATATATCATATATCATATACCATATATCATATACCATATATCATATACCATATATCATATATCATATATCATACATCACTAATATATCATTAATATATCATTAATATATCATTAATATATCATTATAAATGGTCTAATTTGTGATGATTCGGGGATGCCCCCATTTTAGGAAACCTGCATACATATATATATATATAATAAGACCAACACATATGGCCTAATATCATCACAGTAATGGTTCATCGTCATTTATCCACTCTGTATGTAAAATATGCAGTATCATTACCCTCCGGTAAACGTGGCTGCGAAATCCCTGAACTAGCCATGGAGGTTTAGTTCGCTGGGGCTTCAAAAAAATGGTGGTTCGCTGGGGCATTTCCATGTTGGATTGTAGGATGGTATAATGATCATAATTGGATTTTTAAGGATTATTATATAACTGGTTGGTGGTTTCAACACCTCTGAAAAATATGAAAGTCAGTTGGGATTATTATTCCCAATATATGGAAAAATAAAAAATAATCCAAACCACCAACCAGATAATGATAATTATTATGCTGATTATTTCATATGATGATGATCAAGATCATATCATCATGGTCATTGCCTATTTCATTCTTATTGCATCTTATTGCTACTATGAATTGCTTGTTCGCAGTATTAGTATTTCTAGCATAACTCCACTGTGATATTGTGATTATACTAGCGACAGTGTGATTTTGTTAGTAAGTATTGATAGCAAAGAGTAAGGATATGCAAAAAAAATGACAATAATCATCCGTAGCATCGTTGAAACTGATGGATCCTCCTGCGGTATCCCACGGCTTCAAGTGCCCACCTGCTCCTGCGGTAGATCTTGTGGAATTCGCACCTAAGATCAGCTCGGTTCCGCTCGATTCCGGTCAGCAAAAATGATGCCATGTATGCTTTGGCTTCCATACCCAAGATGGTTGTGAAACATGCATCATGCACTAGCTACTAATTAGCTACTTTCAAGAAAGAATGCGCCACCTGTATTTCTTTGCCGGCAATCCTGTGATATTGGGTCAAGAGTCAAGGCACTAGGGTACTCACAAAATTCAGTAGTTCATGTGGCTATGGGTCAAAACATGTACCATGGTACCCTTCTACCTTAAAATAGCTGGATAAATGAGCGTTCCTCCCCCCATTCATATGGTATTTCATAGGATTTGACGTAGTTTTTGCTCCGTTTCCCAGCTTCACCGAAAAAAAATTGGGCGTTCCTGCCACTTCTGGACCTTTAACTGGCACCTGGCTCACTCAGAAGACTTTCGCAGATAAGGACCCCCCCGGTTCGATTTATCCCATGTAAATATGATATTATATTCATGTATATATTAATATTAAATATGATGACATGCCATTAATCATTCGGATGACCGATGTGATAAATGTTAAATACGTCCCCCTGTCTATCACAGACCCAGAAATGAACGTTGGATGAACGTTGGATCGCGCAATGTTTCACCGTCAGCACCTCCAAGGCTGACCGGCTCCTGTAGCCAGGCCTTGGATTCCGCATCTGCTGGACCGTGAAGTCGAAATGGTGATGGGGCGAAGTTTGCATGGGACACTCATGATACATACATATATATATAATATATATATTATAAACATATATATATCATAAATAGATAAATTATAAATATATGCAAATGTATATAATAGATATATATATATATATATATTATGAATATATGCAAATGTATATATAATGTATATATCATAAATATATATATATATATATATCATAAATATACATATATATATATATATATATCATAAATATACATATATATATATATATATCAAATATATATATATATTATAATTATTATAAATATATGCAAATGTATATAATATTTAATATACATATATATATATATTATAAATATATGCATATACATACATTATAAATGTATGCAAATATAGTATATATATAATTTAAAAATATGTGCAAATATATAATATACATATATATAATTCATATATATATATAAAATTCATATATATATATAATTCATATATATAATTCATATATATAATTCATATATATATATGTATATATAATTCATATATATATCATATATATATATGTATAATTCATATATATATAATTCATGTATATAGATATGCATATATATAATGTATATATAATATCATATATATATATGTCATTTACATATATATATATATATATAATTTATATATATTATAAATATATATATATATAATACAATTCTATACATATTATATCCCACTATAATCCCATAATTCCCCGATCTTCGAGTTTTGGAGTGGATCCAAGTTTTGGGAGTTTACGGCCTCGGGGACCTGGGTTGATCATGGCAACTGAGAGAGCACACACCACTCGGACCGCCAGATCCTGGAAGGCCGTTGGTTTGGTCACTGTGACCCGTTCCGCAATACGACCGAAAAAGGAACCCAACATGGAAATAATATAGTGGTATATCCCTCTGGTTATATTACATCGTTACTTTTTTATGGATATAGTAACCACACAAGGGTATACCCTCTGGTAATGAAATTTTATGGTTATCTATTCGACATGGAAATATAATGGGATATCATGGAGGATATGCTGGGATATAACGATATGATATACCCTCTACCCTCTGGCAGTCAAACATGGCTAGCTGGAAAATGCATCATTTACTGCGATGCATTTCCCAGCTATAAGCCTCCATTTTGTTCGGGGATTTTCCAGCCAGCCATGTTTGACTCCCAGGTAGCTGAGATGGAAAAAGCATCTCCCAGACTAAACATGTTTCCTTACCCTTGCTGTAGGCCCTCCTGCAGTTTCTGATCAAGCTTCTCCAACAGCTCTTCAAAGCCCTCACCTGTCATGGCTGCGCCCAAAATTTTGTGGAGAAAACCATGGCAGCTTTAGATCCCCAATGTTCAGACATTCAGATTGTTCTTGGATTTAGGGTTTTCCACATCTACCCGTTTACCCTAAGGTAATATCAAAAAATATATCATTATAATGATCATACTTGGATTTAGAAGGATAATGATCATGATGATCATGGTGATCATTATATCATCTCGCTTTCACCCAGGTAACTCTCAAGGGGAAAACGGGCCCCCGAATCGGCATCTTCACCGAGCACGTGAACCGCGACACCTGTTAGCGCGCTAACCGCTTGTACAGGCGTGGACACCTGCGAAGGCGCCATGGTAGACATCAAGCCATGGGGATTGAAAGTTGATATAGGTCATTTAATTATCCCATGGTTTGATGTCACTTGTTTTTTGCCATGGATATAAAGAATTATTTATGATAATAAGTTAATTCAAGATATAGCCATAGGTATTAATATCATGTCACTATTAGCCTATGGCTATTTATCTTATATTATGATATGAGATATCCGGGATTCCGGGATTCACATGGATGAACCTGTTTTTTTAGACCATCATCCGCACCTGCAACTGGTGTTGGTAGAAGAGCTGCCGGACCTGCGCAGCAGTTGCGGCAACCCAGGAACATGAACAGCGAACTGGAAGCCATGGCATGCCATGGCCCATTTCGTTTGCTGATTTACCGTTCTTAAAAGTGATGACTTTCCATGGCAAACTGACAAACTCTTAAACTACCAGGCAATGTCTGGCAGCACGTGACCGGCACCTCCTTCTCTGTCAACAGGTCTGTTTTGTTCCAGACCTGCACTCGAGAGCTGGGAGATGGAGAAGCTATACACCAATCACCAATGATATCGTCAGATAACAGAAACTCATGTAATGTATTGTAATGTGCTAAAAACCCAATGCCATAAACCATGCCCAAAACCATCATTTTTATTGGTTGTATAAACCATCCCCAAATAGTACGTTTATCACTGGGTTGCCCACACTATCTGTCATATGAATGTTGAAATTAAAAGCAAGTGCCAACCAGAAATGTTGATCGTCAATACAAACCATGGTCAAGCATCGAAATCATCGAGGAGCAGCCAGGAATATCAGCTGATGGATCACTAAATTCTACCCCGTACGCCTGTACAAACATTTCATTCCACTACTTTGCATTGCAGTATATTGCCTTACATGTCTCGAGCCTCTATCTCTATATCCATCTCTTGCTCTAGGTCTACCTACCTACCTACCTATCGATCTATCCATCCATCCATCAATCAATCTGTCCTTCTGTCTGTCTGTCGGTCGGTCTGTCTGTCTATCCATACATCTGCCTACCTATCTACCTATCGACCTATCTAATCTGGTCTAGTCTAATCTAATCTAATGTCATCTCATCTTATCAAATCTGATCCATACATACATGACGATGTATACTGTATACACACATGTGTTTTATCCTTACTGGTTGGTGGTATACCTACCCCTCTGAAAGATATGAAAGTCCGTTGGGATGATTATTCCCAATAAATGGAAAAATAAAAAAATTGTTAAAACCACCAACCAGCTTGTATCAAACTTGATCACCATCCTCAGCACCTCCATGACCCGCTCCGGGTCCATGTCATTTTCCATCAGGACCCTCTGCACCGTGGTTCGTTGCTCCTCGCGCTATGAAAGGCTGGGAAGAATGCGAATGTGGGGATGCTAACCCACTGAAATTGGCATTAAACCAAACGGACTTCTCTTGAAAATATCTATTCTCATAGGGGATAAAGTTGGATTATTGGAAAGAGACCCAAAATAAAAATAGGTGTTTGGGGGAAAAAGCAGGGATTAAAAATCAATAGAAATGGAGACTAAATCGGTGAACACTCAGAAATGGGGAAATCAAACCAATTGTGTCCAGTGTTCCCGCTTGTTTGGGGGATTTTCCCGATTTGGTAGGTAGGAATATTGGTCACCTGGTTTAAAAATATCAAACTCAAACAAAGCTGTAGCACTAGCTGGTGGGTTCAACTGCACTGAAAAGTTATTGAGGTCATTCTTTAAATGACAGCCGAGACCAGAATGAAACCAGCGATGCCCCATGATATGGTTTCAACCCCTCAACCGCACCTCTCGCGCAGGATGCGCCATGTCACGCACGTGCAGAATCACATCCGCTTCATGAAGTTCCTACAGGTTCGCATGCGAACCCCTTTGCCACACGTGCCATGGTCAAATTACATGGCAATCCTGTGACCCCCAATATATGTGTAAATCCCTTTACAAAACCATGGTTTCTCGTGGGGGTATTATATATTAGGTCATGCCCCGTAGTTGGTTAAATTGGTTTATCAACTCTAATAGCTGGGGTTGGTAGATTATCTATAATTAAAAGGTGTCAAAACCAACTTATAACTGCGGGGGCACCACCTTGTGGCATATCTGTCTGAAAAGACAAGCCCGTATTGGCTATGGTCATCCCCTTATGAAATTGGGAATCCTTATAATGTCACAATTCATCAAAATCTATGGAAATATGACCGTCCCCCCAAGATGGTGAAAAGGGGTAGATAGTCATAATCAAACTCTTGACAATGACACACATGTTCTGACCATGTCCATAGAAACAATGATGATAACCAGTGGATTCTACGGGTATCCCATTTTTGGACAAAGTCATATGATCAAAATTGGCAGTAGGGCAGCGGGTTCACCCAGATTTGTAATTGTCTGGCGGGGGCACCGCACAACTAAACTGATTGCTACATATTGCTACTATCTAATGGGTGTTTCCAATGCTTCAAGCAAATCATTTCATGTGTATTTCAGGACTGAGCAAACCATCATCTCCGGGTGCGGTGCATCTGGATGTATCTTGCCAGCCCTGCCTTTTTGCTTGCTTTTGATCTTTTTGAAACGAAATCAATCTAGTTACTGTTTCATACTAGTTACATATGATAACATACATATTATATATATATATATATACATACATATGTTGTATATGAATTCAGCCCTCCCCTAGTTTCCACCTATTTCCATTTTTTCTACCATGTCCATACTATTTTCCTAGTAATTCCTTATTTCCCCAATATTTCCCTATTTATTTCCCTATTATTTCCCCATTATGTCCTTATTATTTCCATATTATTTCCCAATTATTTCCCCATTAGTTCCCTAGTATTTCCAAATGATGTCCCCATATCCCCATTATTTATATATATATGTCCCCATGGTTTCCATATTATTTCCCTATTATTTCTCCAGAATTTCCCCATGATTTCCTTATTATCCCTACTAGTAGTATTTCCATATTATTTCCCTTTTATTTCCCTATTGTTTCACTATTCTTTCCCTATTACTCTATGAAAGAACCGCGCCTGAATCGTAGCCTGAAAGACTTCACACAGCTCCAGGGGCAAGTCCTGCGGTGAAATCCCTTGAAACGGAAAAACATGGGAAGATCCATGGGAATCCGGACTTAATGGAGGTTTGTAGCTGGTAGAATCATCGAACTACTGGATGTTTGGGGAAGTGAGGCTATTTTTACCACCAGAGGCTATTTTTTATAGCTCAAATGGATCCAGTGTTGGATTCAACACAGAAAACAATGCAGGAATCATCCTGCATTTTTTGTGTCCAATATTCAACCGGTTTTTGATTATCCGAAATACAGCCGCACATCTCACATCTTCCCATATCTTCCCAGAATTTCCCATAGTTTATTCCATCATTCCATATATATTCTCTATCCACATGTTCCCTATATTTTCCACCATTTTCCCATGTTTTCCCTGACATTTTTCCCATGGGGCGACACGCCACAAAAGTGCCTTGATGAAACCCACGGAGTCCAAGATGTAGCATTGGCTTCCAGATGGCCTCGACGGAAATGGTGAGATTGATCTGTGTGTGCACATGTAATTTGTATATGTATGCAATATGTATAATAGTTGTATAATATGTGCATAGTACGTCGTAGTACGTGTACAACATTATGTATATGATATGTATATAATAGTCATATGTATAATGTGTATGTGATCTGTAGATATGTAACTTATGTAGATACATGTTTGTATAGATATAGAATGATATAGATACACATGTGCCGTCTGCGTAAAATCCAAGCATGTACGAGTATATGTATACATATCGTATATCAACGTAGAACATATGAACATATTATGGGCCTTCATACCTTTATCATGTTGGTGACATATGCCCATTAAGAAGCTACATACTTGTACATCGCATCACGCTTGGAACAGCTAGCTGCAAATACTTTAAAACCCTCCGGTGATCGAACAGCTAGCTGGAAAACTCCCCGCACTTCGATGGTGTCCTGCAGGATGGTGCCCCCCAGTGATGCTTGTTGGTTTATAAACCATGGATTAACCCCCATGAACTACGGTAGTTGGTTATATCTACCATAAATCATAGGGTTTAACTATAGTTTATATATATATACCATAACCATAACCATAAACCAGTGGCTTAATAAACTATAGCTATATCATATATATATATATTACCAGAACCCATAATATTGGTTTGATATGATATATATATATAACTATTGGCTATGGTTATGGTTAAGTGGCTATATAAACTATAGTTATATAATACAGTATGTATATATATATATTACCATAACCGATTAACCATGGTTAAGCCACTTTTCCCGCCGGAAGTTCATAGGTTTTTTTCACCATCCGAGGTGCAAGGTGAAGCGTCGGGCCGCGATGTCTAAGGTCACAAAGACCCCATCCTGCGACGAATCCAGTTGCCCAGATGGGGATTTACCAGCAAAAAAATGTGATTTAATGGCGAATTTATGGCAAAAATGGTGATTTCCATGGGATTTCAAGGGACTTCGAGGTGTTTCATGGAGGTTTTCCGAACGAAATAGCCCAAAATCATCCGAATTCTTGGTGAGTCATCAATGGCTTGGATGATTTGGGGTACCCCCATGACTATGTTGAAAGCTCCGCATGCTGAAACCCAAGAGGAAAACCACAAACTATGTTCTTTTTATGTCTTTTTTTGCGGAGAGCTCAAGTTGTCTTGAATTCACCCAAAAAAAACAAACAGAAGATGATCAAAAGTTCCAAATTTAGATCAGCCACACTGAAAACACCGGCGGTAGAAAGCTGCCGGTCCACGAAGCCTAACTTTTTGAGGCTAGAACACAGGGTCAAATCCGATATTGTTCATTGTGCAATAAACCTACTGGGATTCAAACTTTCGGAAATCATCTTGAAACTATCCAAAACTACTATTTTTCTCTATCAATAAACCTACTATCATTATCCCAACCGCAACATCTTCGATGCTGTCGCCTTCACCAAGAGGTCCGAGCCAGAGAGGCGGTTCACAATCTCGGCTCAAGGCACTTCGAATGGGGCAAAGTCTTGGGAGAAAAAAACAGGGGGAGATCAGCATGTCATGTGGAATATAACTATAGATAATGGGAATATATATATATATATATCACCATAACTCATAATATTGGCTTGATGTGATATATATATATAGCTATTCGCTATGGTTATGGTTAAGTGGCTATATAAACTATAGTTATATTATATATATATACCTGGTTGGTGGTTGACCTACCCCTCTGAAAAATGATGGAGTTCGTCAGATTGGATCATCCCGTTCCTATTGGGGGAGCTGGGAGGTTATCCTCTGCTGGTTGGTAGCGGGGATTGCGTGGAGGTTTAGTAGTTGGACATACTTGGTGGTTTATAAACCATATATATATATACCTTATATATATGTATATATATATGTATATATATATATATATGTATATATATATATATGTATATATATATGTATGTATATATATATATAGCTGGGGATATTCCATATACAACTGGGGCTGTAAGCCATTTACGAAGTACAGGATACCGTTTCACCCTAGGATTCTCACCAGCTTCAGCTTTGTCAAATCCAACCTAGCCTCCCCAGTCTCCCCAGTCTCCCAGGTCCGCCAGACTGCGCTCTTGCCAACATTCGTGTAGCCCACCAAACCTTGTGAGACGAGTCCATTGAAAAGACTACAACTGCATCACTCCTGTAAATCTGCCAAATTAAATGAACCCTGATTGCCGGAAGCTATTTTATGTTGTGGCCACGGCATCAACATCTCACATGTCACATGTGGCAAAGGGTCCAACTAGATCCAGAATGATCCGGCACATACCCCGTACGAGCCGAGAGAATAAAATCTCGGTAGATTTCAGAAGCTGAGAGTATGCTAGCAACATCAATTTAAAAAAATAGCAGGGTAGCAGAGAGTGGTTGGGTTCTTTCGAAACGTTGTCACTTGCCGCTTGCTCACATTGGCAGTGTGAGGATGTAGCGACCCTTTAACTTCAGAAAACACTTCCTATCCTAGCCACCAAATTTGCTCTGCATCTTCTATCTGCAAGGGACCGCAAGATTGGTATCCGTTGACAAAATGTTGAATCTAATGCAGACATGCAGGATCATGCAAGTGAAAAGTTAAGGGCAAAGGCCCAATGATTATTTACGCGGGTCCCTCCATTCTGGGTAAATTATAATACTTCACTAACCTGAAATAAGGCTATTTTGTGATCGTTAGCCCTTACTAACCATAATTACAGTGACATCATAGTGAGGTCACTATAATTCATCCAGATAATTCTTATGAATATCAGGAAACTGACGAACATCCTTATGAATATCTTTATGAATATCATCATTCTCATCATCAATATCCTCAGAATTCAGAATTCGTGACCTATGCTTGTAATTGCTTATATTCTTATATTCTCCAAGCACACTTGTCAAGATCGTCAAGGTGCCAATAGTTTGAATCCCATCGCGCATCCTCCGCTGACCTCGAAGTCAGGTTCCGGGTTTCCCATGGGTGTTCCGACTTGAAATTGGCAGGAGGCTAGTAAAATGTCGTAAATCGAAAATCTGCTGATTTCCATAAAAATGAAAATTGCTTAATGGTTGCCTCCCTTCAATTGCTGTGACTAGCCTAAATGATGCCAATGTAGGTAGTCATACCTTTTCATCCTTTCCAAGGCTTCTTTCATCTTCTTTCCCTGCACACCAGGGCCACCCTGCGGCGCGTGCTGCGGGTGGCTTTGATTTTGGCAATCTCCTGCCGAGCCAAGTGGTAGGATGGTACGAGGTGACGCTGTGAAGTTAGTGCATCCAAGTTATGATAATTTCTGATGATCTTACAAGGGAACACTTGGATAATTCAGTTTTCAAAAGTCGGTGTTTTGCCTATTTTGATACAGACATTTTATTGGGGATAAAATCCCGTTTTCTGCATCCATCATACATAGATATCAATAATCTATAAATGGGAGTTTCAGGGATCTGGCTCTTGTGGATCTGGCGAAATTTTTAGAGGTGTTTTTGGAAACAAAAGAGAAGACTTCCAGCGACGAGTCGATCTGTCCCTGACCCATCATATGATCCGATGGATATAATATATTAAATAATATAATAAAGTAATGTAGTGTAATGTTATATGATGTAATGTGATGCCATATGATGTAATATGATACAATATGATGTAATATGTTGTAATACGATTCGATACGATATGATGCAATATGATGTAATATGTTGTAATATGCTGTAATATGATCTAATATAATATTGTATTATATGATATTATATGATATTATATGAAATTAGATCAAAGTATATATATATATATATCATATTATATCATATTATATCATATAATAATACATAATTTAGATTATAGATTGTTATATATCCGTTGAAACCTTCGAATGTCAGCTGGATGCTTCCAATAATTCAATAGGCACTGCCACCTCCTAGCGACCTAGCGGTCAACTTGAAGTGCTGGTGAAGGGAGACCATATGAGACCATCAACTTGAATTTGACGATTACCCTCTGGTAATCAAACGTGGCAACGGAAAATTCCCTATAAATGGAGGTTTAATGGGAATATCATCTCGAAATGGTGGATTTTCCATTGCCTCGTTTGATTTCCGGAAGGCAATCAAAGGCAATGATAAGGACAGTGTTCTCTGCATCACAGATCCACATCACTGACTTCAGACCAAAGTGAAGACAACAACAGAGCTTGCTGTGCCGATACGCGCAGCAAACCATTTTCTGCTGGCACTGCTGATGTTTCTCGCGTCTCGGAGCGCGGAGCTCCTATAAGATAAGATTTGCCAGCTTGGATTGGGGGCTGGCTCTCTGACAGAAAGGGATTCACCCTGGCTGCCATAGTCACCATCCCATTAACCACCCATGACTGGGGGTCATTTGGGGTCATCATTCCATTGATAGGGGTATAATTACCCAAGAATGAACCTCTATTGGGAATGGTTGATTCCATTAATTTGCGGAAAACCACATCATCACACGGGAGTGTTTGCTCCAACAAGACGGACTATCATGGACAACACAGCACCTTCTACAAATTCCTGTGCTGGTCCTCAATCTCATCTGAGCTATGACTCTATGACTGCTATGATCACTTCTGCCACATCCAATTCATGCGAATGCTAGGCAAATCGGCTTGGCTGTCTCCATGCAGCTTGAAAATCTGTGCTGGAAAAGGAATGGCAAATGGTTTCAAGCTTTGAGCTTTCTTGCCATCATTTGCCATCACACTCGTTAGATCCAACGGAAAACGGACATGTCTCAAAGGCGTGGAGCATCGTGGAGCCATGGCAGTGCTGAAATCTTTGAGACATATCCAAGACATCCAGACGTGGACTGGACGCCCAGAAAATCGACCCTTCCGCCGGTCTGCATTCACCAGTCTGTACTCAAAACACTGAACGAAAAAAGCGAGAGAGAGAGAGAGAGGGGCAGACTCATGAGGATGGTGCTATTGTGTTTTTCAAAATTTGGTCACCATGCACTTCATGAATCTTCATAAATCTTCATGATACTTCATACTTCATCTATATTTGGTGAAGAAACAAACTGGCTGCACGTCTAAATCACGTTCAACGCCCGCAGGGCGCCTCGGATGTCAGTGAGCAGCTTCAAGTCCTGAAGAGGGGACGAGGGGTGATACCGTGATACCCTTCAGTAATTTAACATCATAGCTAGGTGAATCACATGTAAACGGGTCATTTTCCATAGCTATGTTGGTTTACTGGAGGGTGAAGGGGATTGGTAGCTAAAACAAAGACACAAAACCCACAAGACCCTTCGGGTGGTCCTTGTGCTCCAGCGCTTCAGAACATATTTTTGCGAAACACGTCACAATTGGGAAATTGAGTGTGTCTCAGTCCAACTACTCTTCTTTCTTGGCAATTTTACGCTTCGTCAAGCGGTCTCACCCCTATATCTATATTGCAACAGCATGTTCCGAATTACAAAAAATACATGAAATTGAAATTCAAGCGGAAAAACTACCAGGAAACAGTTTCAAATATCAAAACACTTCCATGCTCAGTGTCAGCTAAAGCCCTTTACAGGTGAGAAATGTTTATATAATGGATGTATCATTCCATAAATCTGGGTAGATGGTAATATTTCACCAACTTGAAATACGGCTATATTGGGAGAATTCCTCGTACAAAGCATCATTCCAGGGTTCGGGAGAACAGTGAGGTCGTTATAATGTATACCCAGACAAATGGGCTTATCACAGGAAACAATAGTTTATAGTAATAAGCCCATTTATCTTTAAAGGACGTGTTTGTAGTAAAAAATAGTTTATAGTAATGGGCTTATTATATATTATTAGTATTAGTATTATTATTATTATTATTATTGTAGTAATCCCCAAAGGATGTGTTCCCATCATTTCCAGGTGTCCAAGGCATCTTTGATGGCCGCCTCTGCCGGGTAGCGCACGGGCTGCGGAAAGGGCCAGGGCAGGGCGAAGTCCGGAGGCTCTGTGGCCTGCCAGGTGAGGTTTTCTGTATGGTTAAGCCACTATAACTAGGGTTTGCTGGGGCAAATGAAGGTTTCCATAAATGAGGGTACCCCGAAATGGATCGTTTATAATGGAAAATGCATGAAAATGCGATTAAAATGGATGATTTAGGGGTATCCCTATTTCAGGAAACCTCCACTAACTATAATATACTATAACTGTAAGCAAGATAGCTAAGTTGGTGAACGTGCTGGGTTGATTCGGGGAATATAACGAAGTCGTTTTCGTGGGTTTTTTTCTCGATCAATTTCCACCTCGCCGGCCTGACCTTGCGAGTTAAACGGGTCAAAGATGGTATGGGGATATTGACCCACCGACGAAATTCGGGATCAAAATGAAACTTGATAGAACCCGCGAAGGCGGGAAAAAGCTTGATTTCCATATATGGCTATGGGTCAAAATTCTTGGTGAAGCTATAGATCCTAAACATCAGCGATTTCTTGTGGGTGCGTTGATAGTGCAATGCCTTGGCCTAGTTGTCCACAAAGCACGATATTCTCCAGGTACTCAAACATGACTGGCTGTGAAATCCCCTATCATTGACGGAAAAAAAAAAACAACGATGGGAATTTCCAGCTGGCCATGTTTGATTGACAGAGGCTATGAGTTTAGTTGGGTCACACATAAAAACCACGGCGAAAGAATGCTATAGAAATATGATGAAATATGCTTGAGTATGTTGGGATATGAGTCTGGTATGGGCTTGTGATCCTGAGGGAATTGTTGCCCTTCCGGGCACCTGTTTACACACTTCGGTGATCATCCAGCTTGGCAGATAGCAAGCATCCAAGTGAATCTCCCAAACTGAGTTGTTTCCCAATTGTCATTGGGTTCTAGCTTCCAGGCATTTGGGTATGTCTGAAAATGGGATATATATATGTATATATACCCTCCAAAATTGCGATTTTTACGGGGAACAATGATGATAAACCATCAACATTTTGGGGCTCTGCAAATGTCTGCTTAAGTGGTTGATAATAAATGTCCCCAATTACCCTCTGGTAATCAAACATGGCTTGCTGGAAAATCCTCCATTTACAGATGAGGTTTCCATTTAAAATGTCTATTCTTAGGGGATTTCACATCAATCTTGTCCTTTTAGGAAAAATAAATTGGGGTCGGTTTTGTCATCATCTACCTAAAGTATTGGTTGGTTTTTCGGGGGAACCCTCTATTAATCAACCAATCACTGGGAAAAAGGACGGGGACGTGTTTCCCTATTTGTTGATGGTTTAAGTACAAATACTACTATTCTAATATTAATAGTTATTCCATTAAATTATTTCAATGATATCCCAATAAAGAAATCCCCCGGCAGTCTACGGGCAGAGCGCTCTGCCCCAAAGTTCGACCTCCACGTTCTCTCCCAAGACTTCGAAGGCTCGCCGGATGTCGTCAGGATTTCCACCTTGAGGGGAGCCAACCTCTTTCACGTTGAAGATCGAAGCCCAATTGTTTTCCCATCCTTGATCTTAAGCACCCCAAAGAAACCATGGTTTTTGTGGTGTTTTTTAAGTCAAGTGTAGTAGGGAAATTATAGATATCTGGGACTACTTAGGTAATTTTCAACCTTGGGTAGCTTGGGTAGATGGATTTAATTCACCAGCAATTTGGGGATGATGGCTAGCACCCATTTATAGTGATATTAGGGACGGTCTATAATTGGGTTTACCACATTGAGTGGGTTATAAGTTATAAGCCTAGTTGCCCTCTGGTAATAAGGGTAAATCCCCGAACTAAATGGACGTTTTAATGCGAAGATATGGGGAGATCATGTAGAAATTGGGAAATGTTAAGCAAGCCATGTTTGATTACCAGAAGGCAACCCTAATTCTGGTAGTCTGGTAGTTGTAACCCAAGCTATATTGGTCGGGGCCCATTGTATATAAAAACCATCCTGAGTGGGGTCTACAATTTGTGAGCACTCGCATGGACTGATGTGAACCCATAAAATTATAGTCTCATAGACCTTATAAATTGCTCATTGGGCGCACCAGGGAAGCACGCACATTTAAGATAGAATGTCCATCACCATCATCATCTTTGATGGTTTTAGACTCGAGACCTAAAAAAAACCGTTAATTGGGTGTTGAGCATATCCGGAAACCATAGCTAATAGCCTCTCTGGTAATCTGAGACACCAACCCACAGGTCCCGCGAAGTGTCCCGGCAGAATCTGCTGCACATCCCACTCGCAGAGACGTTCAGACCACTCCTGAAAGTGGCAGGGAACTGTTTGATGGTCCCATGGCAGACTATCTCCAGTTGATGCGTGAGATTGCTTTGTTGAACTTTGTTTCCACCTGTTTTGGCTGCGGGTTCCAAAATCGCGAGAATAGGAGAAGGTACTTGGCTGTGCATCCCAGAAACATATAGTCATATAGTCTGTTTATAACATGTTATACCGTAACCTATACTGTATGTAACCCACAACCCATTAATCTGACTGGGGTATCATGTGGTGATTACCCACTTCCTACTCTATGGTACTCAAATGTGGCAATGGAAAAAAAAAAACAATACGATGTGATGTTCCCACCTAAATGGCCATTTTCTTCGGGGATTTCCCAGCCATGTTTCATTAGGGCTGTGAGTGCTTCCATCCTACAGGTCGTTAGGGTCAAAAGGCCGGCCACCTTCACGTCTTCGCGGATCTTTCCCCCGTAGACCAAGGAGTAGCAAACGGGCCTAGGCAAATTCTGAAAAGGGACCCGACATGACCTGAATGACCTGCACCGTTCGGTTGATCCAATCGATCCAATATCTCATTTACTGACCGTGAAAATCATCGAAGATCAAGAAATTCCATCAACTTCCGAAAAATAAACCTTTTGATGACCAACAAAATCGTCTGAATATGAACAACATTCCCATCACACATGATATGAAGCTTCGTTCAGTCACAATGGATCTCATCGCAATAGCAACACAATTTCCCAACAACATCAGCGTTCCAAGGCCTTCCCTGCTGAGATTTTGGACCCCACAATCCAGCGGCCAGCAATGGATCTGAAGGCCTGCCATAAGCGCATCCAGTCATGTGGATTGAGCTATATGCACATATGTATATGTATTGTGTATATATATATATACATGACTCCAAGTCACGCAATTCCACTTTTGTGGCCAGATGCAATCTTGCAGGTTGGTTAATGAAACTTCTCACAGCGATACATGCATCATTTGACGCATGAAGGGAAACATGCCTCCCGATGCCAACAGCTCAAAAAGAGATCACAACAAGCATTCAAAAGAGCGTGGCATGTGGCATCTACTCCCCCCGGTGATGTGGTGGGGATGGTGGTGGAGCAATGTATGTATGTATGTATGTATGTATGTACGTACGTACGTACGTATGTATGTATGTATGTACGTATGTATGTATGTATGTACGTACGTATGTATGTATGTATGTACGTACGTATGTATGTATGTATGTACGTATGTATGTATGTATGTATAATATATATATGTATATTATATCATATTATTTATATATATATAATAATATATATATAATAGTATATATATATAATAATATATATAATATATAATATATATAATATAATATATATATAATATCATATATATACATAATATATATATATACATAATATATATATATAATATCATATATATACATATATATATACATATATATATATGGGGACGTAATGGGATACAATAATTGGATATAATTATATAATAATGGGATCATATAGATACATTGGCGGATATTTTGGATTCAATGGGCATTCCGCCCTGTGCCTGCGATGGTTCCACGATGCTACCCCCATCGGGACCTTCGAAGGGGAGATATGGAGCTTGTCATCCAACCACCCAAAAAACATTATACAGTATATATTGTATACATTGTATACATTATACAGTTATATAGATATGACCAATGTATGTAATCTTATATGTACATATATTTGCACAGGGTAGATATACATCCCTTGAATTGAGCAGTTCAACCGGACGAATCTCTGTTTTCTTTGCACACTCTTCCTTTGACACGTTTAGACATGCAACGAGGCCGAACAACGAGGCCAAAGCCGCCGAAAAACGGGGCGCCGACCGAAGTACAACGACAACAGCGCGTCTCGTTGCCAGCCCTTCCTGACATTGTGGCTGGCAGCCTATAGGCCCCATGGGTCATAAAAGTCTGATGCCAAGTGGAGTAGGATGGGACCTTTATAGGTTGATGCTGGGGATTTGGAAAGACTCACTGTTTTTGGCCGTGTAGCCCCAAAATGACAGCCGGAAAACACAGCACTTGTGCGAGCCTGGGCACCCAGACACTGAACCCCGCAAGCTCGTCCCCCAAATCCCAAATCGGCCTTGATAAAAAAATAATAGGGGTTCCCAGAAAAATAGGGGTTCCTATCCCGATCAAATGCAACTAGACCCTTGCAACCATCATTTACTTGGGTTATGTGCACTTACTGTCACTTACTAGCCTCCGGTTATCAAACACAGGCCCCCATATAAATCTGTTCCCATTGAAACCTCCATTTCGGTGATTTTCCCATTAAAAGCTCCATTTATAGGTTATTACCCTCTGGCAATCAAACATAGCCATGGAAAATCCTCCATTTAAACATCATGTCCCATTTAGACCTCCATTTCGTTGGGGATTTTCCCTGTGAAACCTCCATTTCGCTGAGGATTTTCCACCATTTTCACCACACCTCAGCAGCGCCGCATCGGAAGGGCTCGGCCCGCCGGACTCCTCCGCGATGGCCTTGCGCACAACGTCGCCGCTGCCACGCCTTGGCCAAAAAGTGGGGGAAAAAACAAGTGAGGCCATGGAAAATCACCATTTTTAATAGGTAAACCATCTATAAATGAACCATTTTCCATGGCCATGTTAAATAACCAGAGGGTAGATAGCTAAGTTGACTTATGTTGACTTAGAACTTGACATAACTTGACTAATTAGGGTCGGAATACAGCTATAGCAGCCATAGTTGATGGGGGTTTATAAACTAACTTATGACTGGGGGGTCTCACCTTGTATGGTATCAGGATGTAGATGATAGAATTGGGATATGTGGCTCTCAATTGCTATGAAATGTGGTCTTAAGTGGCTGAGAATTGGGGCACAATGACATATAGCGGGATTTTTCAAGGGTGGTTAACCCAAAGAATTAGAGATTTGAACCAGTTTCAGGAATGTTTAAACTGTCAAAAACCATGTTCAATTAACATTCGTTAATTAATCATTGGGCTTTCGGCACTTTTAACAGAATGCAGGGGTTTGATCTGCACCATAATGAGGATTAATTACACCAATCTGTGAAAAAGTGATGGATGTTATGGGCATCCAATGAGGAGATATGCCAACTATATGATATCCAAACGACCACCCATTGATGCTGCCAACTTTGGAGTTGCGAAAAGAATCTGATCCACAGCCACGACACGCCAGGCGTGTCAACCAAATGAACTATGAAAATTGGAAGACCTGCAATTAGAAATAATTATAGTAACCCAAAAAAAGATAGAAAAGTCATGTGTCATCATTTTCGCGGGATGATGATTTAATATGTGCGTTTCATGGTTACTACATAGCCAAGAACAATTCTAAGATCAGTGAGACGATGGCGCCTAGATGTTGCGCCTCCAGATTTCACCGGGTTTCGGAGATAAATTGCTTTGAAGCACCAACAACCCAATGTTTAAGCAATTTAAATGGGAAAAATGAGAATAAAGCAAGGATTTGGGGGGAATACCCCATTTAAGACAGGGCTTGGACCTTTTCTCTTGGTACCAAGAGAAGCATCTCCAAACTCCAAACACCATGTTCCATAGCGGATACTATCCTCACTATAGATCCAATACATCAAATAACAGGGGAACCGGCAATGGTGAAGCAGTGAAGTCCCATCTTGGCTCAGCGTCCTCAAGGATCGATCGGATCCACGTCTGAGTTGGCCACCAATTTACGAAGGCCACCAGGTCCAAAATGAAGTTATTCGCCGTCCGCCCCAGCCCTGCGACGGCCAAGGGGCCCCAAGGGGCCCCCACTGGCCACGAAGTGAGAGAAACTGGTTGACATTGGATCAAGTACTCCTATCATCCATGAAAAAAGCGGGTATCTGTCGACATTGGGATGGTAAACACCCCTCAGCAAAATCTCTTCCCAGGGCGAAGAAATCCGTGCCAGCCCCAATCTCAAACTTGCCATTTCTCTGGACCCATTCCGCTCCTTTAAGCTCATCCTTGTCCAGCACTGCAGGTGGATCCTCTCACGCATCACTTGTTGAAGGGCAAGCCATGTCTTTCAATCCACGGTCCATCTCCTCCGGGACATAGACCAGGGCGTCCGTGCAAATCAACGTCTTTGACCTGAGACCAGGACGATCCAAGTCAAACTTTGGATCGAGAAGGGGCCAAAAAAACACCATCCAACATGCCAACAGGTGTGGCAAATGAACATCAGTATAATATACAGTAGCAATGTGATGAAATTCAATGAATTTCATAAGGTGTTGTCACCTGATTGTCATCTAGCAGTCATGATTTCAGGAACAATCACCTATTGATGTGAACCATGGCTGTGTTCGCTTGCAACAGCTCCACCTAGCACCCCCGGCCTTCGATGGAAGAAGGCACACTCAGATGCGCTATATCCCAGACCCAGTCGGTCCTGGCAGAGACCCTTCATCCCTTGAAGCAGCCAATTCAGGGCGTTTTTCCAAGGGGATCCCAATAGGGGGTGCAGTTGCAGTTTTGGAGATGGGCCGCATTCACCTCCTAAGTCGGGAAAAAAGGGGCCCCTGTAACTACAATTATATATCCAAGTGGAACTAGATCTGTAGCTATATGGTGCCGTAGATCTGCTGGCCGATTCCGCGCTATGCTAAGGGGACAGCTCCATCAAAGACCATCATGACCGGCCCCATGACACTGGAACTGTACCTGGACATGACATGGTTGTTGCGTAGAAATACTCCAGCAGTTCTGTATTCTTTCTATTTCAATATTAACTCTTATCACAAACAAAGCGAGTCCGGGTTGACTTCATGTGTTTCATGTGTTGCAGACTGGATTCTGCAACTCTCGAGCAACTTCTTGGAGTTAATCATAATTTATCATAATATGACATAATATGTTCTTATTCATCTCTCCTGGATACAAAAGTCTTGCTTGAACCATTGGATCATTGGACCTTCCCCATCTTATTCCGAGGATTTCCGAGGCAAATCTACCACGAGTTGGCCCACTTGCCCATAGATGTGGAAAACGATGTGGAAAAGCCACCATGAATGTAGATTACCCTCTGGTAAACATACAAAAAGCTATTGAAAATGGTGATTTATAGTGGATTTTCCCATTAAAAAAATGCTGATTTTCCATAGTTATGTTACTTTACCAGAGGGTTCTGTATTTTGCCAACAGGAAACCATGGGTTTTCCACATCTTTCACGGTATCCTAAAGATCCAACCATGGCGGCAACGGCCTTGGGACACAGCAGCTGTTTGTCGATCTCTGAAGACCATGGCGTGTCCTCTCCGTCCTAGGGATGATGCCACCAGCCACAATTGGGGCTACCAAGAACATCAACCAACGACCAAGGATATCTCGATCGATGACTCAACAAAATGTTGGAAGATCACAAGAAGTTCAGCATAAAAGCCACATGTCACCACCTCATCCAAGCTCTTTTACATGGTCACATTGCTTAAAACCATTCAAAACCTATGAAATTACCATGAAATTCGGGGAATCTTCACATCCATTCAGCGAATTCCCAACTGTGACTCTGATCCCATCTGGCAATATCTGGCACCTTCAGCTCTGTGGCAAAGATGCCATAGAAGGCGCTGGGCAGATCCAGGGGCCAGGACCATTGCTGTACCGTGTACACCTGCCAGCAGCACTGCCAGCACCGCATGGCGGGGTTCCCTAGAATAAAGCTATATACCCCCAAAATGGATACAGTAGATGGATGGTTTTAATGGAAAATCCATCTGTAAATGGATGAGAACTGGGCGGTACCCCCATGACTTAGGAAACCTCCATGTGCCAATTAAATCATCAACATGCTGCTATTTCTGGATTATCTTCACCTCGGAGGGACCTGCCTTGGCATCCGGCCAACGTCGGGCAAAGGGCGCCACGAAAATCTTATGTTCGTACCTACCAAAACAGACCATCCAATGCTGCGAAGTTTGGGGATTCCCTACTACGACCATCCCAAATACCTGTTGCAGCACTTGAAGTGCTTGCGAAAGACAACAACTTACCTAAAGGGGGTCTTCATCCATCAGCCTTCATAGCACCATAGGGTGCAGTGGCCCGACGAACGGCCAGTGCTGGGGTTCAAAAAGTACCAACTCCGCGCCGATCAAGGAACTACTCTCGATATAGTTGTACTCTATGTGCAACGCATGTCTTTTCAAGAACACTAAGTATTGTCCATCTTGGATTTATTAGATATGCGATGATGTGTGTACAGATATGTATGTCTATTATATAGATATATATATATATGTATACACATATATACATACATACATACATACATACATACATACATACATACATACATACATACATACATACATACATACATACATACATACATACATACATACATACATACATACATACATACATACATACATACATACATACATACATACATACATACATACATACATACATACATACATACATACATACATACATACATACATACATACATACATACATACATACATACATACATACATACATACATACATACATACATACATACATACATACATACATACATACATACATACACACATACATTACTACATACATACATACATACATACATACATACATACATACATACATACATACATACATACATACATACATACATACATACATACATACATACATACATACATACATACATACATACATACATACATACATACATACATACATACATACATACATACATACATACATACATACATACATACATACATACATACATACATACATACATACATACATACATACATACATACAACATACATACATACATACATACATACATACATACATACATACATACATACATACATACATACATACATACATACATACATACATACATACATACATACATACATACATACATACATTACATACATACATACATACATATATACATATATATATATATATGCTATGTACCGTATGGAGCAACAGTCAGTATCATAACTCCGCCGTATCCTCCGCATCACCTGAGATGGCCGACTGTGCGCTACCCAGCACGATGTATTTCACTGGAAGATCCAACTCCCTGGCCGAGGTCAGGAGTTTTTTCAAAATCGCTAGGGGCGGATGTTCATCTCCAGCCTACGAAAACTCCTAGGTTTTGACTGAGAACTCAGGGACTATGGATGTTGGTGATTTTTTTCAATTGAGACTCAAAGGTGAAACTGGTCCGCAAGTCCAAGTTTGAACAAGTATTGGAGTTCAAGAGATGTTTACAGGAAACAAAGTTCTCACCACTATGGAGGTTTCCTGATCAAGTTTGCCACAAAATCTGCGAAACTCAACCGGCGCATCAAAAGTCTACTGCCAGCATGACCTTAGCAGAGCATTGCACTCTTCCGTTGGGGCCACAGGGTTGTGGACCCACCTGCCAGAAATATCCAGAAATAGCCAGCACTTTTGAAGAGTGATGTTCAATTTGACGGAATCTTAGGAATCTTATGTATGTGTAATATACATATGGCAACATATATTGAAAATTATTGAAATAGATATCTGTTTGGTGGTTGACCTACCCCTCTGAAAAATATGAAAGTCAGTTGGGATTATCATTCCCAATATATGGAAAAATTAAAAATGGTCCAAACCACCAACCAGGATATGATATGTAATGAAATGCAAGTTTAAAATACTTTAAGGCGTCCTGATCATTTTTGATGATGGTTGACAGCAACATTGATGATTGTAACGCAGTTGCCCATACCGGTGGGTGGTCGCTTGTATCATTGGGTCATACCCCATGGCTTTTTTCGCCCTTTTCCCTCATTGGGATAAGCCGCCATTTTCCACAAGTTGACAAGTCAAATCCGGACATCCTGCAGGTCAATGCCCGTTTTCGGTATTTTAACCACCCATTTCTAAGGTCCAAAAACCAGTATTTCGAGTCACCGTTTTGGAAGGGTATCTACCACCTCCTTCAGCACAGAGCCGGGGCACAAGCTGCCATCTTCCAACTTGATGGCTGTCATTCGAACCTCTACTGTGCATTGGGGAGTCAAGTGGGTACATATGGTTCAAATTTCAGATGATTTAAGAGGAAATCATCGTGATTGATAGGAGTACGCTAAAAATTATTGATACTACTATCAAATTCATTGGCGAATTGTGATTGATACCTTAAAATGGATGGTGTACTACTGAATACGGTTGCGATTTTCTGGGTTTCAGGCATACTCATTCCCAAATGTTCAAGCAGGAAATCATACAGAAATCGAGGATATTTCATGTGTTCAAATGGAATGTCCAAACATGACAAACGTTTGTTGCAGCCATGGCCATCCAGAGCGCAGCTAGAGCTACCGAGGATCCAATGCTGACTCCAAGGAACTTTGCTGGTTTCCACCAGAATCATTGGTCCATTCTCCAGCTATGTCCTTCCCTCCAGCCCTCCCAGCTGAGTGGTTCCGGCGTTCACCGCGATGTTCGCCAGCTTCTGTTCCTGCTCGAAGGTCCACATGCCATCGCCGATCTGTGTTCGAACCTTGGACCGTCTGCAAAAGTTTGTCAAGTGGAATCCATAAGGAACCAACAAGTCTGTTTTTTATGGGGCCGAACATGGCCTAACCTACATTTTTGGGACCAAAATAGCAGACTTCTGTTTTTTTCTAGGTGCCAGTCATGAAAGTACGAAGCGGGTTTTTCCTGCCTCAAAGACAGGATGATCAGCATGGTTCCGACATGTTCCGACCTATCAAAGGGAACCACGAAGGGTATTTACAATTAAATCACGAAGTGGGATATCTTTCTGTCCGGACTGTGCTGCCGGTTGCAGCTGCCCCACTCACTCGGCTACCCCGCAGTGCGACGGGCGAAGACCGGGCCAAGCGGGAAAGGAAAGCCCGTGAACTCAGTTGTGCAATGACTGCAGTGATGTCAGCAATCAAGAGTAATTAATCCCATCCCCCTAATATTAAACACCCCCTTAGAAACCATGGTTTAATAGGGAATTTCCACATAATAGGAACCATTTATGGGGTGTTTAATATTAGGGGGATGGGATTAATCCATGGCCCGGGAAGGGGCTCAGCTCGATTTTTCGGGAATGATCCTACTTTGCAATTTTCATGTCGACCAGCCTGGCCTGGGCCGGTTCAAAGTTGTTCAGAGATCTGAATCCCATTCCGGTAAAATGGGCAAAACCAGCATGATTTCCATCAAAAGGTTCAACATCCGAAGTTTGGAATTCCATGATAAACCATGATAAACCATCATAATTCATGATAATCCATCATTTTGTTCATCGCTTTAGAATTCCACGATTTCCGCGTCTTCCCACAGCGAATGCACCGAGAGTCGTTCAGGTAGGACCGATCCAGTGACTCGGTGGCATTGCGCACCACCTCCACCAGCTACCCAAACGAGGCCCCCAAATCACTGGGATATATCGGTAATGGAAACCCACCATAGGATACCCACCATATTTGATCAAATACCAGAGGTTGCCATAGGATATATCCCAATATATCCCAGTATTATTTGATATTCTGGTATTTGATCACTGATCAATCTGGTATTCTGGTACATAGCTATGGAAACCCACCAGATTTTTCCGCTCCCCATATCCTCCGTATTTTATTGGTTGGATCCCAATGGTTTGATGCTTCAATTATTACGAATCAAAACGCATTTAAAAAATCCACACCGTTCAATGGTTAAATCCCCGATTTCGATGGTTAAATAAAAAGTGACCAAGTGAAATCTCCACTTCTAATGGCAAAATCCCCAACCTTTCATGGTTAAAAATGGGTGCAGCCTTCAATCCCCGCGCCGTGCGGCGCGAACAGGTGCTGCGCCTGGCGGGAATCTCCTCAATGTCTGAGCAGAAATGGATGTCCCGTGGTTATTTTACCCAGCTACCCTCTGGTAAACTAACATAACTATGGAAAATCACCATTTTCCATGGGTAAATTCACTATAAATGATGATTTTCCATAGCTATGTTAGATTAGCAGAGGCTACCTAAAATCACCATTTTTTTTGATTGGTGAAAAGTCATCCATAAATCCAGCATTTTCCATACATCAAATTCTCAGAGGGTAGGCCATGCCATTTCCATATCCCCATCCAATCTCTACCACCGCCATGGCGGAAGCACCTTGTTGAGAATCCACAGGCCAGGCCTGGAAGCGGGGAATAGCTATGACCATGGGAGAGTTGTCAGCAGTGGTTTTTTGGTTGGAATTTAACCAGCAATGAAAAATAGTGATTGGATATCACCGGGAATGATATATATATATATATATCTGTCTGTCTGTCTATCTATCTATCTGTCTGTATGTCTGTCTGTCTATCTATCTATCTACCTAGCTATCTAGCTATCTAGCTATCTAGCTATCTATCTATCTTTCTATCTATCTATCTATCTATATCTAAATATATATATATATATATATCTATATTATTATTATTATTGTTATTATTATTATTATCATGATTATTATTGTTATTATATACATAATATATATATATATTATTATATACATATAATATATTTATTATTATTAATCATCATCATTATTATTAACTATTATTATTAATTATTATTATTATTTATTGTTATTGTTATATATATATATGTTGTGTGTGGTGTGTATATATATATATAATCAACTTGGTAAACGCAATACTAAACCTCCACCTGGGGATGGTTTCTTTCACCCTTTTCTTTTCAAAAAACCCTGGCGTGTTTTCTTCTCGGGTTTATTACGTCAGGTGAACCAACTAGGCAGGGTTGGATTCAACATTCAACTAAGAATACACGGTGATCACCAAGCATGGAAGGTTCGGGGGTCAGTTTTTGGATTTTTGTTATGTAGATGGGATTGCAAACATGTGGATATCTTTTGAGAATCAAGCATGGCAGCGAGTCTAGGAGTTTACTCAATCTTATTGTCAATCTTAAGCCATTTGGGGATAGTTTGTGGTATTGGCTTTGCAACATTAGAAAAAACATGCCAAGAAGGAACTCAGATCGCTGCGGTGGGCAGTTCAGAATGGCAGTTCTGAGATATGGAAAATCCACCATTTACAGATCATTTCCTGGTGAGGCGCCGGTAAAAACGATAGCTAAGTTGACGCACATACTTTGATTATCTAGGGTTTATTGGGGATATAACATGATATAACTATACTTATATACATAGCTTATATAAATGTTATAAACCATTATAAACCAACGTATAACTCAGGGTGCCTCACCTGGTAGGGAACCATAGGTTTTCCATATCCAAAAATGGCTCCCAAGTCATGTTGAGAGTCGATCACCCCCGCGGCCTAATCCAGCAATGCCCATAGGGCCTCCAACCTCGCTGCATCATAGCCGTGAAGGAAAGATCTAAAGGGTGGAAAGAAGACGACAAAAACTCTCACGAGCACTATATATATATATATATAGTGATGTACAGTGTGTGTATATATATATGTATATATTGCCATGTGTATGTGTATATATATATATATATTCACACAGTATGTATGGATGTTTAATCAATCACTCCATATTTCTGTTCCACCGCATCCACAGGCGCACTCTGGCACGTTCTATGCTGAGCTCCACACCCTGGGAGTCCACTCTCTGGAACTCCTTCGCAAAACCAGTGGCGCCTTTGACCCCCTAAGGTCGTTGGCTTGGTTTAGTTGGTAAAATCTACAGGAAACCATGATTTTTAACCTTTATTGGGGGGGTCCTGCACATTTTCCCGTAAACCCATCCAATGACAAAGGTCATTTCACAGAAACTGCACCTTTCGGCGTCGCAAAATGAGCCAACTGATTTCCAAAGGATTCTCACTGACGATCCAGGGCTTGGCGTCATGAGTCAGTTATACATAACTATAACTTAATGTATTCCTATTCTTAGAGACATACCCAAGTCTTGGCGGGAAGAAAAAAAATCCGCCCACACCGCTTTGGCGGTGAAGGCGTGCTTATTGGGGGGCAAAACAGCAACACTAAATGCTCAATGACATTTGTTAATATAGCAGTCGCTATATCAGCTTTAGCTGGGGGGGGGGGCCAAAAACGGTTTCGCACCGAGACCAGAATACGGTGGTGTTTTCGACATTTTTCGAGGATTTTTGGGTGTCTGAGCGCAAGAGGGTATTGAAATGGAATTTTGGGTCATTTTGGTAGCTTTCCGGCAATGGAAAAACGGCCAAAAATGAAAAAAACATTGTACATAGCAAGATTTTGCAGGGTTTTTGGATGCCAGAGCATTGAAAACACTGCAAAAACAAGTGTTTTGGACTGACGTTATAGCAAAAAACGTGTAAATTACCGTATGCTTGACTGGAAACATTACAAAAACACTGTCAAAAGCAATGTTTTGGAAGGATTTACTGCCTTTATGGCAAAAAACGTGTAAATTACCGTCTGTTTGACTGGAAACATTGGAAAAACACTGTCAAAAACAATGTTTTGGAAGGATTTCTTATATATATGTTGGAGTTGGCTACCGGCATTGGAACATGGAAAAATTGAAGAAAACACTGTAAATAGCGGTATTTTCAACGGTTGGGGAGATAAGGGAATTGGAAGCATTGTCGAACATGATGTTTTCGACCGGTTTTATGGCGACAAAAGTGTAAAGTACCGTGCTTTGAAGGAAACCATTGCAAAAACATGGAAACACATTCAAAGAACACGGGATTTGGGGGACTATCTAGGCGTCGTTGTCTAGCTATTTGAAATTCCGCAGCTTGGAGAGCCTCCAAGGGAGGGAAAAGTGAAAATTCCATAGCTTGGGAAGCTGTCACGGCGGGGAAAAGTGAAAATTCCCTAGCTTGGGAAGCCCCCACGGGGGGGAAAAGTGAAAATTCCCTAGCTTGGGGAGCCCCCACGGGGGGGAAAAGTGAAAATTCCCTAGCTTGGGGAGCCCCCACAGGGGGGAAAAGTGAAAATTCCCTAGCTTGGGGAGCCCCCACGGGGGGGAAAAGTGAAAATTCCCTAGCTTGGGGAGCCCCCACGGGGGGAAAAAGTGAAAATTCCCTAGCTTGGGGAGCCCCACGGGGGAAAACCACCCTTAGCCCCTCTCACGGACCGAAATAAACCTGCGGTGTGGGCGGCCACCCCACGCGAAGCGGGGTGAATATTGATTCTTTGGGGGTAATTCCCCATAAATGATAGGTGTAGACATATACAAAGAGAGGAAAAGGTGTACATTAATAGATATATAAATATGTATATATATACAGAGTATTTATTATATATATATAATATGTATATTAACATACATAGATATATATATATATATACATGTATTTGCATATATGTCATGTACATTTATAGATACATAATAAATATAGTGTCTCAGTATCATCCTATGCATTCATTGCATATAATATAGATATAATAGATACACACATACAAGGTGAGGCGCCCGAGTTATAAGTTGGTTTATAAACCCATTGACGTTCACCGAGTGAACTGTGTGCATGAACTTAGCTATCATAAATCAGCTAAAAAATCCATGAAATCCCAATGTTTGTTGGTTAAAACACCATGTTCCTATGTTTGTCCTATGGTTTTGTTGGTTCTATCACCATTTTCCGATGTTTTTTCGAACGGCACCGCGGGACCGGTTGGGGGGTTCCGCATGATGGTGATCTCCCGCGGGGCTCCTTGCTCCACAGCTTCCCGAGCACAGTGTTGAAGCGCCCGCCTGAGGGGATACATACGTAGAGTAACACTAACGTGCAGTCTGATATATATATAATATATATATATACATACATATACATACATATTACTATATATATATTATAAGTATCATATGTATATATGTATATATAATTTAGTATCATTTATCGAATACCAATGGCTTTTTACCCACCCAAGAAATGGGTAGATGCAGCAAAAAATAACGCGCTAAAAGGTTTTGAAAAAATAGGGTTGTAACAAGAGACAAGTGCGACCCAAAATGGTGAGCATCTCAGCTACTGGATGAGAAAACAAGGGAGCGGCGCCATCCTCCTTTCTCGCAAAGGAAAAAAGGGTCTAAAATCGCGAGTCTAGCCATCTGTCAAGTGCCCTTTCTCAGGTCGGGTATGTCTTAAGTCTGTTTAAGGCTATAATTAAGTCAAAACCCTGTACTCTAAAATAGCTTGTTAATGGTTGTTTCTTCCCCAAAATATGGTAATTTCATAGGTTTTGACCCATCCCCATTTATATAAGTCTTATCAACAGCAGAGCGGGCATAGCCCAGAGATCTCCCCGTTGCCCATCTGGGGTTTCTTACGGCAACGCTGGCAGGTGCTGCACCATGAGCCAGGCGCTGTGGAGGAAGCATCTGGGGACAGAAACTGCTGGTTTTCCAGGAAGAACTGCAGCATTTTACCCTCTGGTTATGTCAAAATAGCTATTGAAAATGACCATTGAAATAGTGGATTTTCCCATTAATAGCATGGTGGATCTTTCCATAGTTATGTTACAAATTACCAGAGGGTACCAAGTGGTGAAACAGCCTGGACAGAATCACACCACTAAAAACCAACGAGTTGTCCTCAACACTCGTAGCAGAGCGCAGAATGGCAGAATGTCACGTGCTCTTCACCAATTGCCAATAACTTGCTTGGTTGAATATCGAAGTAGGACCAAAAAAAACTCTGGTTGTGGTTTCAATCATCTAAAATAAGGTTGAACATGTTGAAATGATTGAAATCACCAACCAGCTATGTCATTGTATATTTATATGCCCACCTCTACTGGTGCTCTCCCCATGCAAAATCATTGTACATTCCCGTTTTACGGCTGGTTACATCCCAGAAATCTTGTTGGTTTATGATCTTCCCGAGTACAAAATCTCAGACCATCTTTGAATCTGTGTTTTTCCGAAGAAAAAATCCTCAGCTACCCTCTGGCAAAGTAACAGTTTGCTATTGAAAATGGCCCAGTAGAAATAGTGAGTTTTCCATAGTTTTCCCATTAAAAATGGTGATTTTCCATGGTTTTTTGTTTTTTGTATGTTTACCAGAGGCTATGCCTTTTTCCTAACATCCACGTCTCCTCAGCTCCAGACTGTGGCCTGGACCGCCATCCCGGCCGGTTCCGGTTCGCGCGTCTTTGAGCGCTGCGGTGCAGATTTTGGTGGCCGATCTCGGTCCCTGGATGTCATCATTCCAGAAATGGATGGATTTCACCATAGTTATAGGCTATAGTTGGCTATAGGAGTTGTATATCCTGTATTATGTCCCAAGTTATGGGCCTGAGGTTCTTTCGCCATGGTACCCTCAACTGCACTTCCAAGTATGGTGGTCCAATGGGACAATCCGTTGAATATCGAGCACGTTGGTGTGCAACGGGAGCTTTGGATAGTAACTGGACAATGACCATCCATTTATGACCGCAAACACAACTGGGAACGTATGTTATTTATGTTATTTCAAATCAACGTATGCATTCTTCAGCTTACTTTTATGACTGCCCCTCTGCAGATATCCAGAAGGCTCTCCCCAGGATTCCCTTGGCGACAGCTGACATTCTTTTGCTCAGTTTCGCATCAGCCGGGGGCCGAAAGGGGGCCTCCCGATGGATGCGGAACTCACGCTGCTACTCTGCTCGAAACGCTTCCATGTGGACACGTGATGAAAGTGTGGAGAGGTCATGAAAGGCCACGAGGTACCAAGTCTGGGGATGTTTCTCAGAGAGGTGCATAAGGAAGGAAATAGAGCTCAAGCAACTTTTTACCTCTACCTAGCAATACCCTATCTGTTGCAACTGGTGTCAGGCCTGTCCTCAATCGACCTTCATCGGCATTTAGGTCTTCACTTGACAGCCCTGGAGCTCCAGTCCCTGGTGCTTGGCATTTTGGAGGACTGGCAAAGGGAATAGGCACAATGCTTCATGAAACACGCTAAATCCAAGATGTCAGGAGTTCATAAGGCGTTATCGCATGTTGAATATCAGGGCAATTGCAGCTAGCACAGAATCGTTCCGAATAAATCATGGCATTGCGATGTGCTCAATTCGATGGAGAAATCAACTGAAACTCTTTTGGAAGGCACCCATCGCGAAGATAGATGGATATGTACATCATTGTACATCTACATATGGAATCTGCTGGTTCAACCCCTGAAAAACTGGGGGTCAATTTGGACGAATGTACCCTCAGGTAATCAAAGGTGGCAATGGAGAATCCACCCATACATGGAGGCTTTGGCTTTAACGATAAAATCATCCATAAATGGGTGATTCTGTGGATGGAAAAAACCCTGCACCACCTTGGATGATTGAAACCCTGTAAATAATGGGATAAATCACCTATCAGCTGGTGCAAGATTTCTTCCATCCACAGTTGTACATTGTTACGTTTGATGAACGGAGGGTCTTTGAAACCATGAACCAATTTTTCTGCCACTTGGCTATGGGTCAAAATCGTCCGGCCAGACCCAGACCCACTATTTTGATCTATTTTGGGTAAGAAACTGAATGGTAAGAATGAACGAAAAAGTGGACAGTCATCTGGGTGTTGTCTGAAAATGTGGTAAAAAACAAAAACCAAATCCATTGTGAAAATCCTCGCTTTTCTCGCTCAAATGACCATTTTTGGGGTGTATACTTCATTTTCAGACCCATCTGAGGCCTTTTTCGGCAACCGGGCCCATGGGCGTTACATGGGAGGCACTGGTCATCCCAGCATGAATGAGATTCATATGATTGAATTAGATTGTATCAGTTTCGGGGTCATATGATCATATGATTCTATATAAATGATATCTATTATCTTTATATCACCTATGTTCATATCATGGAATATGAAATTCCCCAAGGAATGCGCATATGAAGCCCATCCCCCAGCTCGTGCCCATCCAGCCTCGTGGAAGGCCTCTGAAAAGGTCAAGTTTTTGTTGTCAGAAAATTGAGGGGAAAAAACTAAATCCATTGGATCATGGTAATTTTCCCTGTTGGCCACTTGGGGGTACCATTTTCAAATACACCCATGTCATCCTATGAAAAAATTGTCCTCTGGGATGGAAGTGAACAGAAGCCAGGGGCGCAGCCAGGGCGAACTGGGGCCAGGGCAGGAACACATCCACGACCAGAGTTTCCAGCGGAATGCAGGATGACAGCAGCCTGGTGAGAATTGAACCCACAAAAGGCCGGCGACTCTGCACTGGTGTCATGGCTATCAAGACGGCTGGAAGGAGAGAATCTTACTGCTGGAAGCCGCGGCGCTTCCCAGATTACCATCGTCATGTGGGAAACCTGCCACAAACCTACCATGGAAAGGCGGTGGTTGAAATCCCACCCATGCAAATGGTGATTTTGGGTTTGGGGGATGACTTATTTTCTGCATCACTCTGAGGCCCGCGCGAGCCTGTGAGGATCAAGACACAAGATGAATACATCAAGAGAATCGAAATCGAGATTAATCAAGTGCTAAGGAGTACCAGAGCAAATCAAGAGAACCAAACACGAAGAGGAGGAAAAAGAATTGAAGCTTCCACGAAACCCAGCCGGCCATATTCAAAAATGGTGTTCCAAGTCCTTGTATCAGACGTTTGGGAAGATGAGTTGAACCGGTACGCCGTCTGGCCTGAAATCTGTCGCTCACTCTGCCAGTCTCTCGCTCCACTGCAGGTACCTGTCAGGGTCGTCCCGAACCGAAGGGGCCGAAGGGGCCGAAGGGGCCCGATTCGGCCGCGAAACACAAGCGATGGAAATGACCCTTGCAGAGGTGCAAACTAGTGGAAATATGTGGAAGTATGTGGAAATAACCTCTTTTGAAGCACCGCATGATTGGGGAAAAGCGGGGAAACATTGTGGGAAAAATGGTGGAAATTCGATTTGAAAGAAAATGCTTCTCAACTGCTTTGAAATGCAAAAAGGATACACTTTTTCATCTTTGCTGGATCCAAAACTCCAGAACCCTATGAGGGCGGTCCAACAGAAAAGCTGAACGTACGTTCATGCCCGAGAAATTGTCCAAAGAGTAAGAAAGACATCTTTCTCAGACACTATGAATTATATCACTATAGCATCCCCTTGTTCATTTCGGGAGAAGGTGCTGACAGGTGATTTTGTAGAGAAAAGGGGTCTACAGAATACAAATCCATCCAGGAGAATGGCTCCAAATGCACTACAAAATACAAGTCTAGGGAACCCAAAATGGCTGCCCACTACAAAATACAAAACAAAGATCATTAAAAACCACCAAATAAGGGCTGTCTACAAAATAGATTGGAAAAAAAGTTGCCCCTTCCAAGGCTCGAAAGTGCCCAAAACAGGCTTTGTGGGGTATGTTCAGACTTGTATTTTGTAGAGAATCCACCTTGAAGTATTTTAAAAAGTCTTAAAACATCCTAAAACATCATAGTAAGCCCTTGTTATCCCTTGTTGTGATTCACGAATTGCCGTTTGTTTTCCTCCCCGCGGCTCCTTTCAAAAATGGCCCAGTTGAGATTTCTATTTTGTAGCGGGTGGAAGCTAGGTCCCAGACCAATAAACCCCACCAAAGCCAATCAAAACCCTGGGTCCCATTGCTTGGTTTTGGATTTTGTAGAGGTAATGATGCACCATCCTACCATGGCCCAGCTGAGATTTCTATTTTGTAGACGGGGGTGGCTCCAGGGCTTCGACCTGATAGCGCCACAACAAACAATCACCAAATTTATAACAACTCCTTGGGAGGACAAGATCCCAAGCCACTTGTGGTCCAAAAGATTGAAGAGTATGCTGCAAAGGTGAGAGGAAAAGGCTTCCATTTGGATGTTCTGGACGCAACGCTTTTTGCAGATAACCATGATGCTATGCTGCATGTGGCCTTTGATCCTTTCCCAGGTGGTGAATTCAAATTTCTCAGTTGTGTTGAGTACTTCAAAGAAATTTCTCCAACCATAGATCTTGATGGGTCTTCAGAGCTTATCAGGGAATCTCCACACACCTGGTGCTTGGTCTCTGTTAATGCCAACTTTGACAACAAAGCTTTGCGCAACCACTGGGTAGCTGGATTTTTCAAAGATCAACTTCAGCCAGAAATGTGGGACCTACTCACAGCCAGGGAGATTGAGAAAGATTCAATTGAGGCCACCAAGGTTGATGCAGAGGTGAAGAAACGTGAGGGGCAGTTTGAGCAAATCAAAATGGCAGGCATTGATGAAACCGTTACTGCCAAACCATTGACCCCTCACATTGCGGCGAGGAAAGGCGCAAATCATACACAAAAAATAGACATGAATGGGGCCTCTACAAAATACAAAACCAAGCATGCCAAACATCCAACACCACCGCTACAAAATAGAAGTCCATCCAATCTACTTCCATCAAAACATGACACAACAATGCCAAAAATGGCCTCTACAAAATCATTGCCGATCTACTTCCATCAAAACATGACACAACAATGCCAAAAATGGCCTCTACAAAATCATTGCCGAGCAAAATGGGGTCTTTCAAAATGCATTTTTTTTTAATACGATGCTCAATCCTCTATTTTGTAGACAAAGTTGGGGTTTGAACTGGTGACCCTGCACTGGCTCGAGAGGTGTCAGCACCTCATTATTTTGTAGAGAAAATGATCACAGGGATACTATAGCATTGTCTGAAACTACAATCCAGGTATCACGGTATCAAGTGATGAAGGAAACCGTCAAGGTTATCCCACAGCAAGAATATGGTACAATGCGGCCCTCACATAGTTTCAATGAGCAAATGCTCATGCTGCTGGGTCAACTAGCAGAATCACATTCCATTTGGGGGGCTCCAGGGGTCAAGCCAAAAAGTCTCACCTTCCAGTGGCTGGATAGCTGCCCTGGCGCCTTTCCAGTAACTTCGTGTTCTCCACCAGTCCATCTTCCTGTCGTGAGTAGGAAAAATGTGCTGCCAGCCTCAGGGCACGGCGGTGAAGATTCTGGGAGATCCTCGTGGCCTAGCCATGGAGGTTTAGTTCGGAAAATCATCGAACTCTTGCTGGCGGATTTTCCAGCTACGTTTGACTACCGGAGGGTATGAAAGAAGTGACCGAAAAATGATCGAAACAGTGGGAAATCCATGGGGATGAAACTTGGTTTCTCAGAAGCCTCCTGAAATACTGGCGATGGAACCCCACTAAAATCGCCAGTGCTAGTAGGAAAGCAATCTTCCGCTTGCCCTGTTCTTGCCAGCTCTTAAGTTTCATAGTAAAATATCATCGGGTATCCATCACTACTACGTCTTAATGATGCGGTTTTGTCCGAAAATGATGGAAGTTACCTCAATTTATAGTATGGCCATCAAAGTTATCAAATACTTGGGAAAATGAGGTTTCATCCCGTCAAAATTTGGGGGATACCCTCTAGTAAACTAACATAGTTCTGGAAAACCATGAGTAAGTCATCTATAAATGGACCATTTTCCCATTTTCGGACAACCCAACTTCACAATGGCCCACATCCCAAACTGACTTCGCTGCGCGCTGCCAACAGCACAGGAGCGTTTTTCCAGCCTCAAGGTCTCATGCCGAGGGTGAAATCTATCCACTTCGTTCACAGGAACTGCACTTCCAAGGACCCCGTCTACTCCCAGTTCTATTTGATCCCTTGTTCTATTGGTATATATCCAGTATTTGATAAATCCTCATTTTGCTCCTTCTGAACGTCAACATCCGCAAAAAACAGTATCTGTTGGCTATGTCCGACATCCCATCGTAGCGGGAGGGGGGGTTCCAGTTCGTCGCCAGCCTCTAAGCCTCTAAGCCTCTAATGTCTGGAGGCAGCCTGTAAGCCTCTAAGCCTCTAAGCCTCTAAGCCCCGAATGTCTGGAGGCAGCCTGTAAGCCTCTAAGCCTCTAAGCCTCTAATGTCCGGAGGCAGCCTGTAAGCCTCTAAGCCTCTAAGTCTCTAATGTCCGGAGGCAGCCCGTAAGCCTCTAAGCCTCTAAACGCCTCTAAGCCTCTAAACGCCTCTAAGCCTCTAAACGCATCTAAACGCCTCTAAGCCTCTAAACGCCTCTAAGCCTCTAAACGCCTCTAAGCCTCTAAACGCCTCTATGCCTCTAAACGCCTCTAAACCTCTAAGCCTCTAAACGCCTCTAAACGCCTCTAAGCCTCTAAGCCTCTAAACGCCTCTAAGCCTCTAAACGCCTCTAAGCCTCTAAACGCCCCTAAGCCTCTAAACGTCTCTAAACGCCTCTAAGCCTCTAAACGCCTCTAAACCTCTAAACGCCTCTAAGCCTCTAAACGCCTCTAAACGCCTCTAAGCCTCTAAGCCTCTAAACGCCTCTAAGCCTCTAAACGCCTCTAGCCTCTAAGCCTCTAAGCCTCTAAACGCCTCTCAGCCTCTAAACGCCTCTAAGCCTCTAAGCCTCTAAACGCCTCTAAGCCTCTAAACGCCTCTAAGCCTCTAAGCCTCTAAGCCTCTAAAGCCTCTAAGCCTCTAAGCCTCTACCTCTAAGCCGCCTCTAAGCCTCTAAACGCCTCTAAGCCTCTAAGCCTCTAAACGCCTCTAAGCGCCTCTAAGCCTCTAAGCCTCTAAGCCTCTAAACGCCTCTAAGCCTCTAAGCCTCTAAACGCCTCTAAGCCTCTAAGCCTCTAAGCCTCTAAACGCCTCTAAGCCTCTAAACGCCTCTAAGCCTCTAAGCCTCTAAACGCCTCTAAGCCTCTAAACGCCTCTAAGCCTCTAAACGCCTCTAAACGCCTCTAAGTCTAAGCCTCTAAGCCTCTAAACACTTCTAAGCTTCTTGACACCTCTAAGGCTCTAAACGCCTCTAAGCCTCCAAACGCCTCGAAGCCACTAAACGCCTCGAAGCCTCTAAACGCCTCTAAGCCTCTAAACGCTTCTAAGCTTCTTGACACCTCTCAGCCTCTTGTTGCCTGTCAGCTTCGAAACGTCTCTAAGACATGCCATCTTGAACAAAACAAACAATTTGAAATATCTTAAACTTCTCTTTCGCGACCTTTCGCGAAGCAAATTACTTTCGCGATCTTTCGCGACCCAGCATTTCTGTTTCGCGAAAGTGATGTAGTATAACTCCCTTACATAAACAATACATTGAGGTTTTTTTCGTGGCTCAAATGATGATGATGATGATGATGATGTTTATCTGATAGCCTTGTTGGTAGATATTCCCTCACAGATGTGACAAGACTCTTAGCTTACTAGTACCCAATGCTGTTTTCAACATGAAATCTCTATAGAATTGTTGACACCAACGTCCACGATAAAATCGCAAACGTTGACGTTGGACAGGTACCCCTAAAAAATTCCAAGGGGGATCGTTAGAGTCTATTCTCTTCTGCTAGGCTAGCGGCCTGTCCTGTTCCGTTCGGATCCATCCTTTCCGTTACAAGAGTCTTCCGCTAAGAGTCTTCCGTTCGGGTCTATCCTCTTCCGTTGAAGCCTACCTTCTTCCGTCAGAGTCTGTCCTCTTCCGTCAGAGCCTGTCCTCTTTCGTTCAAGCCCTGTCTTGTTTCGTTCGACTCCTCACATTCGTTTGCAACCTCTCTCTTTCGTTAGACTCCTCCTGGCTTTCAATCGAAGTCCTTCTTTCGTTTCAATGTTTCTCTCAGAGTATGGGGGATCAGGCCCGCTAAGGTTTGCCAAGCCTCAAAGCTGCAAAGCCTCTTTGGCGCTTCACGCCTCAAAGCTTCAAAGCCTCAAAGCTTCAAAGCCTCAAAGCTGCAAAGCCTCTTTGGCGCCTCACGCCTCAAAGCCTCAAAGCTCCAAAGCCTCTCTGGCGCCTCACGCCTCAAAGCCTCAAAGCTGCAAAGCCTCTTTGGCGCCTCACGCTTCAAAGCCTCAAAGCCTCAAAGCTGCAAAGCCTCTTTGGCGCCTCACGCTTCAAAGCCTCAAAGCCTCAAAGCCTGAACGCTTGGATGCTTTGGCGCTTTGGCGCTTTGGCGCTTGGCGGCTCTTTCAGGCTTTGGCGCTTCTTGACGCTTTTCCGACGCCTCAAAGCCTCAAAGCCTGAACGCTTGGATGCTTTGGCGCTTTGGCGCTTTGGCGCTTTGGCGCTTGGCGCTTTGGCGCTTTGGCGCTTTGGCGCTTTGGCGCTTGGCGCTCTTGATGCTTTGGTGCCTCTTGGCCGTTTGGCGCTTTGCGGCTCTTTGACGCTTTGGCGCTTTGGCGCTTTGGCGCTTGGCGCTCTTGATGCTTTGGTGCCTCTTGGCCCTTTGGCGCTTTGCGGCTCTTTGACGCTTTGGCGCTTCTTGGCGCTTTGAGACTTCGCGGCTCTGTGACGCTTTGGCACTTTGCAGCTCTTTGAGACATGCCATCTTGGAAAAAAAAAAGTGATTTTGTAGATTTTACTTTTTTTCAAGCACCGATTGAAACATAGGTATAAAAGCTGTTTCGGAGAAAAAACAAAGGGCCAGATTGCTTGTATTTGAGGGCCAGCGCTCACCTGCAGCCAGCGAACTTACGACTACCTGTTTAGTAATTTTTGTGGGTTGTTTAATGATGGTTTACCTTAGTAGGTGATTAACAAGCGTGGTTTGTAAGTCGCCGTTTCGCGGGTCATAACATCTTTGAGTGTGTTATAACTTATAACTTTGCTGATTGAGCATGTCATCATTGATGAAAAGGGTATATTCTAACTGGTGGAGGTTTGAATTCCATCGTCATACCTATAGCAGATCTTATAAACCAGGCCCTGCGGAGTTTTGAAGCCGACCATCAATAGATTGGTTGAAGGAAAAATCTCCATCTTGACCAGAGTCTTAATCTTGCTTTTGCTGTTGCGGCTTTTGTTTTTGTAAGGCAAGGACGAGAACTTGCAGCGTATCATCCAACATGTCTGAAGGTTGGGGACAAGACCTGACAGCGTAGCACCCAAGATGATTGAAAGTTAAGGACAGGTCTTACAGCGTGTTATCCAAGATGGTTGAAAGTTAAGGACAAGATCTTACACCGTACAATCCATAATGATTGAAAGTTAAGGACAAGGCCTTTCAGCATAGCATCAAACATGTTTGAAAGTTAAGGACAGAATCTTGCACCGTAACATCTAAGATGCTGGAAAGTTAAGGAGAGGATCTTGCAAAGTAGCATCAAGCATGTTTAGAACTTAAGGACAAGACCTGACACCGTAGCATCAAAGGTGTTTGAAGATTAAGGGCAAGGTCTTACAGCGTGGCATCCCAGATTCAAGATGTTTGTAATTCAAGAACAAGGTCTTAGGGCATAGCTTCCAAGATGTTCAAAGTTAAGGACAAGCTCTTCGAGCATAGCGTCCAAGATGATTGAATGTCAAGGGCACGATCTTACACCGTAGCACCCAAAATGATTGAAAGTTAAGGACAAAGTCTTACTCCATAGCAACCAAAATCATACAAGATGCTTGAGAGTTCAGGACAAGATCTTCTTGGGCAGCATCCAGATCTTCCAAGAACTTGTTATTATTTATCTTGTTCTCGTTTTCGTTCGTGTTCTTGTTGTTAATGTTGTTATCGCTGTTCTTGCTCTTGTTGTTTAACTATTGTGTTTTGTTATTGTTATTTTTGTTCTTGTTGTTGCTGCTGCTGTTGTTGTTGCTGCTGCTGTTGTTGTTGCTGATGTTGTGGTTCTTGTTTCTAATCTTGTGGTTATGGTTCTTTCTCTTGTTCTGGTTCTTGTTCTTGTTCGTCAAGGACAAGAACTTACAGCGTATCATCCAACATGTTTGAGGGTTAGGGACAAGACAAACAGAATCTTGGAGCGTAGCATCCGACATGTTTGAAGTTAAGGACAAGATCTTGCTTCGTAGCAACAAAGATTTGCAAGTCAAGGACAAAATCTTACACGGTAGCATCCCAGATGATTGCAAGATCAGGCTGCGATCTGACAGCGTAGCATCAAGGATGATCGAAAGTTAAGGACAAGATCTGACTCTGTAGCGCCCAAGATGTTTGAAAGCACAAGATCTTACGCCGAAGCACCAATGATGTTTGTAATTTATGGACAAGATCTTACATGCTTGCATCCAAGATGTTTGAAGGCTAAGGACAACAGCTTACAGCGTACCATCCAACACCCCCTTACAGCGTATCATCCAACATGTTTGCAAGTTAAGGACAAGGCTTACACAGTAGCATTCAAGAGGATTGAAAGTTCAGGGCACGATCTTACACCGTAGCATCAAAGGTGATTGAAAATTAAGGGTAAGATCTTACAGCGAAGCATCCAAGATGTTTGTAATTCAAGGACAAGATTTTAGAGCATATCACCCAAGATGTTCAAAGTTAAGGACAAGCGCTTCGAGCGCAGCGTCCAAGATGATTGAATGTCAAGGGCACGATCTTACACCGTAACACTCAAGATGATTGAATGTAAAGGATAAAGTCTTACTCCATAGCAACCAAAATCATACAAGATAATTGAAAGTTCAGTACAAGATCTTCTTGGGTAGCATCCAGATCTTCCAAGAACTTGCTATTATTTCTCTTGTTCTGGTTTTCGTTTTTGTTCTTGTTATTAAAGTTGTTATAGTTGTTTGTGCTCTTGTTTTTATTAGCACTTCTTATTCTTGTTAT